TGGACTCTCTCCACCACAGAAGAAAACGAACATTCAGGTAAGCCAATGTTCATTGTCCTATCTGTGGCTCCAAGAGTCCAGATAGAATGGGACATACCAAAGCTGAATGGTCCCTGGGAGGGCTTGAGTCTGGTCCTACTCACATTGGCACTCAGGCACACTCTGTAGAACCCTCCTGCCAAAGGCTGCATCAGCCGATACAAAGGCATCCAAGTGGAAATATCAAATAAAGGGCGATGGTGAAGACCATGTAGCCGCTCGACAAATTTCTTCAATGGATGCTTGAGTAGCCCATGCTGCAGTCATTGCCGCACTTCTAGAATGAGCTGTCACCCCTCGAAGCACAGGAAGAGACCTATTCTAATAGGCCTTAGAAATGCAAGCCCTAATCCATCTCCCCTCAGTCGATGGAGACACCTTCAACCGCAATGTGCCCAGCTGGAAGGACACAAAAAGTGACTCTGACTTTCGGATTGGATGTGTTTTCCGGAGGTATATTTTCAAAACCCTGCAAACATCCAGAGTATGCCATGCCCGTTCCAAATGATGGGTAGCATTGGGACAGAAATTTGGGACAATAAGTTCTTGTGCCCTGTGGAATCTAGAATTGATCTTAGGGATGAAAGATGGGTCTTACTGCAAAACACTATCTGGATGGAAGATACACAGATCTTCCCTAACTGAAAGGGCCGCCATCTCTATATCCTTCTAGCTGAAGTGATGGCTACTAGAAAGGCTACCCTGAGAGATAGAAGGTGTAAACTGATGGAGCTGAGAGGCTCAAATGGGTCACTCCTCAAAGCCCTTAACACCTTAGGGAGATGCCAAGTGGGGAATCTGTGAACTACAGGTGGACTCAGTTTGGAAGTTCCTTTGAGAAACCTCTGGATGGTTTGGTTCTGAGAAAAGGACTGCTTCCTATGTAAGTACAATATTGACGAGAGAGCAGCCACTTGTCTGCGTAGGGTGTTGGCCGAGATCCCTTTGTCAAGACCCTCTTGTAGAAAGTCCAATATGTTGGCTACTGAAACTGAAGTGTGAGAAATCTTAGTCTTGAAGCGCCATTGACAGAAGACCTTCCATGTAGCTTCATAGATGCAGATGGTTGATGGTCTCCTAGCCACTAGAATGGTATGGATGGCCCGTTCTGATATATTTTGTCTCCTCAGAGCGCTCCGCTCAACCGCCAGTTGGAGTCACTGAGGCTCTGGGTGGGGTATTTCCCTTGGTGTAGAGACACTTTGTGAGGAGGGATCCTCCATGGTTAGGTGGGTAAGATATTCACCAAATCCACAAACCAGGACCGTGTGGGCCAATAAGGAGCCAGAAGTATGATCTCCTCCTCCAGTATCTTTCTGACTACCACTGGCAGCAGCGGAAAAGAAGGGAAGACATACAAGAGATCCTGAAGCCACCTGATCCTGAAGAAGATCCTGCTCCTAAGGGCATTGGCCCCTTCTGCCCCTGGGTCACAAATCTGGTGAAATACCTTGGGAGTTTGGCATTGTTTGGAGATGCGAACAGATCCACCACTGGTAGTCTGAACCGTTGTGACAGCTCCTGAAATAAAAGAGGGGGAATACTCCACTCTGAGGGGTCAAACCTGGCTCTGCTAAGCCAGTCTGCTTGCACATTTTCGACCCCAGAAATATGTTCCACCCTAGGTGACAGGAGATTTCTTTCTGCCCAAAGAACCAGACATTCAGCTTCCAATATTAATGCTCTGGACCTGGTGCCCATCTTACCACTCTCAATTCTAACCAATTGATGTTCTTATCCCTCTCCAAAACAGACCACCGGCCTTGAGCCAACTGTGACTGCAAATGATTCTCAAGCACGCTGCCAAGGCAGCCAAGACCTTAGTAAATACCCTGGGTGCAGAAGATAAACCAAAGGGCATAGCCCTATATTGGAAGTGTCTCCCAGCGTAGCTGAAGAGTAAATACTCTCTGTGTGCCAGACAAATTCTGGTATGCAGAAAAGCCTCTGTCAAATCAATTTAAGTGAAGAAGTCACCCTCCCTGATGCTCTCTAGAATAGATTGCAGCGAATGCATCCAGAAATGCTTGTAAACCAAAAATTTATTGAGCCTTTTTAGGTCCAGAATACCTCTCCACTCCCCAGAAGGCTTGGGATCAACAAACAGCCGGGAGTAGAATCCCTTAACCTGCTGACTCAATGGAACTGTCTGGATGGCTCGAATATCCAAGAGGTGTTGGTTGGCCTGTTCCATTAGTTTCCAATGGGATGCCTCCCTGTAAACAGGGCAAGGCACATAAAATCTGGGGGATTGTGACCTAAATTCTAGGAAAAGGCCATGTCTGATCGTCTTTAAGACCCAAGCGTCAGATGAAATAGCCTCCCATTGGGCCGCAAAACTAGATAACTTACCCGCAATGGGAGAACTACTGCCACTTTTAGCAGGAGCGCCGGAAAAATGACTTGCTCCCCCACGAAAATTGAGGCCTATCTCTGGCCGCTCCTTCCTGGGGGCACTCCTGGAGATTGAAGGCCTGCCTCTGAGGCCCTTTCCCTCAGCTTGGAAAGTTGACCTGCAGGAGTAAGGTACTGCCCTGAAACTTGAGCGCCTTGCCATGGAGGGAAAGTATTTCTTTTGATCTCTGGTCTCAAGAAGATGGGGGTCCAAGACCTCCCCAAACAATTTATCCCCTTTGAGAGGGGAAGATGCCACCTTCCACTTTTGCCGCCCATCGGCCTGCCAGTTTTTAAGCCAGGTCATTCTGCGGACAGCTGCAGAAGTGGCAATGGCTTTGGAAGCAAATCTGGCACTTTTTAAAGTGGCATCAGCAATGCCACTTTGGCCGCTGCAACCATCTTATGGATGTTTTGGTGCACTTGGACATCTGTGGCGGGGATCTTGTCTTGCAATTGATGCAGCCAGCGTAAGGAGGGATTGTTTCATCCTCTTGTCCTCCACCTTCAATGCCTCCTTTGGATCAGTAGGATTTGAAGAGGAAGAAGCCAAGGCCGCCACAAAACTGTCCACTGATGGCACCTGTAATGAGCTGGTAAGTTCAGGCCCCATATTGAAATAGCGGCATTTGTTGGCCGATAAAATGGAAGATGTGCCTGGGGATTCCAGCTGTTTCTTGATTATGTTCAAAAATAACCAAAGAACTGGAACCATTTCAGGCCAAACTGATGGTTCATCAAAATATTGATCTTGGAGGAGCAGTAGTGTCACCTTCCACTTCCCCGACATCTGCCTCTGGCCCAACTGGGCTGTCTTCCTAGCCTTGAACAAGAAAGCCCGGAATTTTTGAGAATCCAAATGTCCTGTGAAGGATCTCTCAGGGGCCAAATCTTCATCTGCAGAGAAATCAGATTCCCTCTTGTCTTCCACTGATGCTCTGTATGTGACACTATGTACAGATGAGTCAGGAGAAGCTCTGTCCCTCAAGGATTCCCTGCTTCTATCATGAATGGAATGCTCTAGGTCCGAGTGTTCTGTCACCACCAATTCAGGCCTTTGCATTGCTTGGAGGCTTTCCATAGTCCCTTGCCTTATGGCCCTTGAGATTATTGCCTCCATGTACGCAGGTAATGCTGTTTCTGCCCCTTCGGGATCATGCAAGCCAGCAGCTGTAGGTGTAAAAGTTGCCTCCACACCTGGTCTGGCTCTCTTAGGAGGAGGTGCCTTAGTTTCATCTTGGCAGGCTGCACGGGGATCTTCTTCGTAATCTGTAACTCCCTCTAGAGGTTGTGGTTCAACAATAGCAGATGAGTTATCAAGTGATCAGGCTTGTAAGTGAGGTCCACTAATGGAGGCAGAAGACCCAGGCTCCATCCATAAAACTGGAGGCTGAGCAGAAGAATCTGACTCCTCTGAATGTGATCTCCGGCTCCTCCCACCAGCAACACACTGGCTTTTCTCCACCTGTTTTTCTAGAGCCTTCTGTCTTCTCAAGGCATTCTACTCTTCTGCCCTGGAAGGTTTTTTAGATTCAGAGGCCTTTCTCTTTTGTCTGCCCTAGATCTACTGCTAGAAATAGAGGGACTGTGATCACCTGCCTGATCTTTATCCACCATCCCACTGGGAGATTAGGATTTGCAAAAACAGCCAGACGAAGAGGAGGGATCCTGGTGGGGGAGGGGATGAGGAGTTAATAACACATTTATTGCTTACCCTTGCCAGTAAAGCCCCATGCAGAATAAAAAAGGCCCTCTGAAAGGTGAAGCAAGCCTGAATAGGCCTATTGCTGGGCTGCAGCCACGCCCTGCTAGTGACCACAGTGTAATAATGGACCTGCATACAGGTCTACTGGTGCCCACGTGATCACCTCAGTTCTGTAGCTGGAATCACAGCCCTTGCAACGTGGTCGATCTGCGCCCTCACAGCTGGGGTCGACCCAGTCCTTCTTCACTCTTCAGCGCCAACTGCTGCCACACGGCTGCGCCCCCCAGCTGGGATCGAGCTGATTGCCCGATCAAGTGGCTGCTTTGTGCTGCTGCAAAGCCTCCTGCTGGGCCAATTGCCCTCTCAGCCGCTGCTGCACACTGCTGCACTTTGTAGCCAAGGCAATTGAAAACAAAAGTGAAAAGAAACGAGCTGCTTGCCCATGCTGCTGCTGCGTTACCATGCAAAACAGCTGATGGCCCTATTGGCCCGATCTCCTGGAGCTGCTCCAAGTAGTCATGGCTCCACCCGCTAGGGCAGCCACCCTGAGTGCGATCACCAAGCCTGGAGGCTAAAAGCCTCTCTCTTGGCTGCAAGTTCCAGGAAAACCTTCTGCTTACATTTTAAACATTTTTTTTTTCTTTTGAAAAGCCTCCACTTGTAATTCAAGTGGAGCCCCAGCAACTCACGTCCTGTCCTGGCTGGACAGGACAAGTCGAAAACTGGGCATGGCCACTGCGAAGGGCGGAGCTTCAGTTGTAACGCAGACTCAGTCCAACAGAGCAGAAGCTGATCATACCCACTCTATCTGGACTCTCGGAGCCACAGATAGAAAAAAACTAAGTACATCTACGATTCAATAGCCTGTAGAATTAAGAACTACCTTTAGCAGATATCACTTGAGGTAAATCATTTTCTGTATGACTTTACTATTCTCTCACATTGTTGTGGAGGAATTTTGGCCCAATTTTCTTTACAATGAATTGCATGAATTCATTGAGGTTTGTGGGAATTCATTTATGCATAGCTCTCTTGAGGTCCCACCACAGAATTGCAATCAGGCTGAGGTCTGGATTTTGATTAGGCCATTGCAACACCTTGATTCTTTCCTTTCTCAGTCATTCTATGGTAGATTTGCTGGTGTGCTGAGATTATTGTCCTGCTGCATGACCCAATGTCAGGCCAAGCTTTAGCTGTGGCCACACATTTGACTCTAGAACACTTTAGTATACAGAGGAGTTCATGGTCAACTCAATGAATGCAAGGTGCCCAGGTTCTGGACTACAAAACAAGCCCACATCATTACCCCTCCATCACCATGTTTGACAGTTGGTATATCTTTGTGCTGATATGCTGTGTTTGGCTGTTGCCAAACATGGCATGGTGCATTAAAGCCAAACATTTCCACTTCAGTCTTGTCTATCTAAAGGACTGCATTCCAGAAGTCTTGTGATTTGTTCAGATGCAACTTTACAAACTGAAGCCATGCTGCCATGTTCCTTTTGAAGAGAAGAGGCTTTCTCCTAGCAACCCTTCCAAACAAACCAAATTTGTTCAGTTTTTTTCTAGTTGTACTATCATGAACTTCAACATTTTAACATGCTAACTGAGGCCTGTAGACATAAGTTTTGGATTTTTTTGCAACTTCTCTGAGCGTTGCATTCAACCTTGGGGTGAATTTGCTGAGACATCCACTCCTGGGAAGATGGACAACTGTATCAAATGCTTTTCACTTGTGAATAATCTTCCTGTAGAATAATGGACTTTAAATCAGTGGTGGGATTCAAATATTTTTGCCACCAGTTCGGTGGGCATGACTTGGGGGTGCACTTTGTGCATACACCTTGCATGCATGAGTGCACCAAATGCGCACTTTGCGCAGATGCAGAGGCATTTGCACAGGTGCAGAGGCGTTCTAACTCACCTGCAAGCCTGCATGATCCCAGTCGCTTCAGCAGCTGCCGCACAGCACTATTCGGTGCTGCACAAAGCAGCTGTGCTTCAAATTCAGCGGATAAGGTGAGTGTGGGAGCCTGGGTGGGCCCAGAGCAGAGCAGCAGAGAGAACTGGTTTGGTCTCTGCTGCTCATTGCTGCTACTGGCTCGAACCGGTAGAATACCACCACTGCTTTAAATTTTTGGAAATGCCCTTACAATCGTCCCCAGATTGATGGGCAGCAACAATTGCTTCTCTAATATCACTGCTCAAGTCTTTTATTCTTTCGCATTGTGTTAACACACACCTGAATGTATGTTAAACATCATAAAACTTTGCCTTTTATAGAGGCAGTCACACTTGCCAATAATCAGTTAAGAGCACTGGATTAGCAGCACCTGGCTGCTACTTAACCTCTTTACACTTATGGAAACAATAAGGGTGTACTTAGTTTTTCACACATGGCTTCTCCATTTTGGCTTTCTTTTTGTAAAATAAATGATGCTATGGTGTAATATGTAATGTGTTGTTGTTCATCTGAGGTTGTATTTACCTACTTTTAAGAACTGCTAAGGACCAAATGATTTTTACTATGTCCTGATACATGAAACCATAGAATAAAGAAGGGTGTACTTTCTTTTTCACATGACTATATATTCTTATATTAATATTAAACATATCTGGATTTCAGGTCAAGAAAGATGTATTAAAAACTCCATATAACTTAAGAATTTTTTATGTCTTAACCAATGTACTCACCTTCATGTCTTGACCTATGATCAGCTTGAGCTTTCAACACCCTGTATACGAATAAAATAAGTAAAATAAATCATTGTACACAATTTAGCAAATGTTACTTCAAATAATAAAAACAGATGAATAAAGTTATTTGTTCTCGCTAGATTATCGAATTCAAAAACTGATTTAATATTCTACAGAATTTTGTACTACTCTTTTAAAATGCTTTTACTAGTTTGCTATATAATATTTATTTCCTCTTGGAGCAAAGAGGGTAATTAGATGGTAACAGAGATATAGCACTATACATGGCTACCTGGTCCAGGTAGACAACTAATTAATTCACCCAATTTAATCACAATGTATGAAGTTCTTGACTAGCATTAACAGTTACTGATTTATCTTCTTTAGCCTAAAAAAAATAGGTTTTACTTAACCGCAGAACTGAGAACCTGCTGCAATAAGCCTGAGTGATAATGAGATAGGGGAGATCAGCTGAAGTCTTTGACTCCTAGTTTGAATACTATGTTGATTAAGTAGACCACTTAGGGATACCTAATACTCTCAACCACTTAAGTTTCTTAGGTCACAAAAAAGTCTTTTTAGCCAGACTAAATGGTTAGATATTAGACTATTGCAATGGCCTCAGCCACAATTGTGTAATTTTCTCTGCCTTAAAATCTGGATAATGGCCTGTTTTCACTTAATATTAAAGTGACTTATAGGAAAATCCAAATTTAAAATATCTTGAATTCAAAACATAAGGTTTTGATCTTATCAGAGATATTCTGAACATTTTTAGTAAGATCAATACACTACTAAGAAAGAATATAACTTATGCATACTTTTAACTACACATTTCTGACTAAAATGATTATCCAATATGCTGCTTAATGCAAATATATATATGTGTGTGTGTGTGTATATATATATACTATAAATCTTACCAAAGATATTAAAAAAAGGTTATTGTACCTAGGCGCCAGGTTGTCATATGTATAAGCAACACACATAAGTCGCTGAATCAAACTGGTTCCCTGGACAAGTACAAGAAATACCTTTAAAAAAATTGAAGTCAAAAAAGAACAGTTAATGCAACTGCTGCCTTAAAACTATGTGTTATATGTGTACATGTGTATGTATGTGTGTATATAATAATGAATAAAAAGTAACTGCATTGTTCATAAATCCAGCATTTTAATGATAAGCAAGGCACCATATTAAAACATACAAAAGTTTGATAAAATATGCCAACTAAAATCTTTTCTCCCATTTATCACAGTTTCACAACTTATGTATTAATATGATCATTTCAAAGAAGTGGTAGAGTAATATCTTTCTGTCTTTCTGTGTAGGTAAGAAAATATCCAGGACTTCCCAAGTGTTTGCTTCAGTTATTTAATAGGGTTTGCAGTTGGAAACTATTTCCATTGCTGCTGTTTCAATTATGAAATTTGGGGAATTATCTTTAAGAGAACAACTAGAGTGGTAGAATTAATCCCTTTTTTCTGGAGAATCTTTGGAATATTTAAAAAGCTTCTGCTTGATTTTCATTTCATTTAGGACTGTACTACAGTTGTGCTCTTAAGTTTAAATATCCCTTGCAGAATTGTAAATAAACATGGGTGGTCAGACAAAACTTTTTAAAAAATACATTAAATTAAATATTGGGCTTCATAGAAGAACCATAGCAATAAATGAATAAAATGGACCAAAAGTCTGCAAGCTCTTGAATGTTTGGGCTGATAATATTGTATATAAATAATGTAGACAAACTTTATTATATTGAGGTTGATATTTCAATTTGCATGACTTTCCAATATGACAATGATCCATTATATAAGGACATTAAATCAACCTCAATTTTTTTTAAAAAAAGTGTAATCACTCATATTTACTTACAAATTAATTCTGCAAGAAGGATGTAAACTTATCTGTGCAACTGTAAATTTAATTCAATATAATACTGTGAGAGATGTATGAATCTGATTAATACCATTTTACCATATATTCATATTCTACTTTGTATAATGACTTTGAAATAACTGGCCTAAAGCTTTTTCAGCACTAATATTAGTACATATAAAAAATCACAACTAGGAATTTATAATTAAACTAAATAAAAGTTCACACTTTGGATGTAGGTATAGTTTATCTTCTAAAATGTCTTGAAAATCACTGACCTATCTAAATATATTCATAATATTATTTAACTAAAATGCTTCCTTAAGGCTCTATGCTTTTGGATTTCTATTTGCCATTTCAATTTAGCAAGCTGCCATTAAGGGCCTTCTCAGTGGTGGCTCCCTCTCTCTGAAACATCATTCCCCCAGAGATTAGACTGACCCCCATTCTAATACTCTTGCAGAAAGGGCTGAAGACTTGGTTCTGCCAATGGGCCTGGGGAACCCAGAGCAAGATGAAGCCCATTAAATGGCTTGTGTGATCTGCTGTCATCGGAGCAGAGTGGGTGGGAGTTGGGGGGTGATTTTGTTATATTGTACTTTATTAATTTATTTGATTCTTTCTGTTAGTTTATTTTGTTTTAAATGTGGTTTTATATTCTGTAAGCCGCCTCGAGTTGCCATGGGTGAATAGGCAGCAATATAAATTCAATAATAAATAAAGAATATCCAGAATCAATATTGTTTATGAAATATCACTCTATATATACTTATACAGTTATACATATATGTATGCTAACATTAAAATATCAGTGGATGAAGCTGAATGTATTGCAGTCAAAGTGGTTTATATACAAAATATGCTGTTCTCCGATCCATTTTTTTTCTTGTTAATTTACTGGGTACATATGTATCCAGAAAATAAACATGAATATATATTACTACCCTTAACCCATCTTAATGCTTTTCAGATATGTAGGACTTCAATTCCCATAATTTTCAGTCACCAAAGATATGTGGAATGGTAATAAATCTTCTTGAGATATACTTACTAACATTTTTTTCCTCTAAAAATGGATTTCCCAATTAGGTTTCTATGTAAACCTACATTTACAGTGTCACACCTGCCAACTTGTAGATAAGACTTTCCCCAAAGTCTTTGTTTTTATTGCTTTTAAAGAGAAGTTTTTCACCTCTGTTAAACGGGGTATGTGAAGACCTTTTGTATGATCTCCTGCAGTTTTCCGTGATTTTCCTGGCCAAGTTCTTTTTCTGTGATTCTCTGCTACTCCAGACCAGGCAAAAACATCATGATAAGCTAAATCCAAATCTGAAGGATCCACTGCAAACTGGCATATCAACTTCAGCAAGCAAGCCAGACAATCTAGTAACCACTACAAATAAGAATAAGCAGCTTTAACTTCATTTAATTTTTGATAGATAATAGAACACTTTAAAACAAAGCTACAGATTCGTTAGAAAAGTTTTATTTCTCATTAAGATGAGTCAGTTACAACTTGTTACTTACAACTGTCCACGATTCCTGTTCTTTAGGTTCTAAAATTCCAGAATTAAATATTTCCAAGAGCTGCTGAAGACCTCCAGAAGCCACAAACTGTAATCAAATTGCAGAAGGTTCAGCAATGAAAATAAGAAAGTAAGCAACAAAGTAAGTGTTATTGTACAAAAACCTCTCGCTGATAATTTGGCCTGTAATCTGGCCTTACTGTTTATCTTCATCAACACCTATAGCTGAGTCCCCAAGAATTGGGGGCCTGTAATCATTGTCCCTATATACAAAAAAGGAAAAAAGATGATCCTACTAATTATAGACCAATGATCCACTCTCAAGACAATCAGCTAAGATACCTACTATAGAAATTCCAGGAATAAATGGAAAAAGTAAACACACTTGCATAGGAGCAAGAGCCAATTAGCAAAAGCCAATCCACCATTAATTAGTGCCTAGTAAGTAGTTCAACATCTCATTGAAAAATACTCTTTCCACAACACAACACAACCTCTCTTTAATGCTATAGATTTCAGAGGAACATTTGATTCTATATCCTGAATTAAAAAACTGAGATTATTGAGTTTTTTTGTGGAAAAAACTGAACAGTCTCAATTTACCAAAGTCTGCTTCATTTAATATGTATGGTACCTGAAGGAACTACACTCAACATAATATATAACATCCAAGACCATCTCATCAGTGACAGTGAAACTGAGAAAAGCATCAAACAAAGCTGCATATTGGCTCCACTTTTATTCTATATCAACTGTATTGTATGGTGGACCACCAGCACAACATGGATTTTTTATCCCCCAAATCTGATGGAGGATAGATCCTCCTGTGTTCTAGAACAGGGGTCTCCAACCTTGGCCACTTTAAGACTTGTGGACTTCAACTTGCAGAGCTTTGCTGGCTGAGGAATTCTGGGAGTTGAAGTCCACAAGTCTTAAAGTGGCCATGGTTGGAGACCCCATTGTACAACACCCATTGGCTTAAAAGAACAGCAAGAACACTAACAGAATTCTGCTCAATGTGAACTCAATTATCAGAAAACTACAATCATGGTATTTGACAAAAGAGCCACACTTGGAGCATAGATGCCACAAGATTATAAAGGTCATGTTTCAAATACCTGGGGGCTGTTCACCATTCTGGCAATAGAAAGTCCATGGGAACTATGTTGTTGAAAATGCATGAAGGAGCTCAGCTGCCATCCTTATATTCCTTAACTGAACAAGAGGTGGCCATAGTATACTGGTATCACTCAAATTATTCAAAGCCAAGCAAATAACATAACTTTATTCTGCCCAGTTGGACTCCTTCTCCAATTTTGCGTTATTAGAACTTCTACAATCCAACTTTCTAAGTTCAGCCCTTCAAGTCCCAAAATGTGTCTCTAATGACAACGTGTAGCTAGAGAAAGGCCTCATCAAAATGAAGGCTAAAGGGTGGGAGACCAGATTCAACTATTGGTTTAGACTATCCTTTTCCTCCTCAACCTTCCCCCATTAATTATGAGCAACATTTGTCAATCCATATGGAAACAGGCAGTGGCAACTAAAATCTCATGCTTGAGTTTCTCTCCAGGTCTTCTATTCAGCATGGGATATTATCAGAACAAAACACTCATTAAACAGCAAATAGCCAACACAGAGCACCAAACAAAACTAGCTAGGACACCAACCTTTACTGCTAGTGAGTCCAATAGTCTTACCTCCCCTATGGCATACTTAACTAAACTTGAACTACATAAATACCAGAGGCCTTTAGTCTGGCATTAATGTCATGCCCTTCCCTCAGCTGTCCTTGAAGGTCAACATGGGAAGATTCCTGTATTTGCCATCCTTGTAATTTGATATAGTCTTCCATAAATGTTTCCCTATACCCATTTAATGCTCCTATTCCTCATTTAAGATTTTTAAAGACTTTTCTTTAAAAAAAAATATTTTGTTTTAATACATTTTTATATATTCCAGCTTTTCATATTTTTTAAAACTTTCATGTACTTTCTGTTTGTAATTTATTGTAACCCATTCCCCTTATGCTGGTCTATAATCATTATAAATTTATTAAAATTTAAATTAAAAATAAGCAATTCATTATTGTGCAAAGACCTGCTTTATAAAATGATTTATTCAAAAATGCGGCCTGTGATTGTTTATGAATATCTTATTTTCTAATTAAAATCAAAAAGTAAAACTACAGACACATGTGAACAAAGACATATACCACCAGAATAGCATTTTACACAATAATTTCAAACCTTGCAACTCCAAGTGTTTTTACTATTTTCTATTTGATCTTCACTTGAATCATCAGAATCTGGGTAAAGATCACTGTAACTTCCCTAAAATCAATGACAAAAACAATAATCATAAAAGATATGTTATAAAAGGAACTTTACAAATTTATATGAAACGAAACTTTGAAAAGTAAAATTATACTACCGTGGATTCCCGCCTTATTCTTCTATTGGGTTTTCCAAGTGCTTCAATTATTTCAAGGGCATATAAAAGTTTATGGGCACTTTTTATTCTTAAAAGATCTTTCCAACTGAATCCATCATTGCTCTTTAAAAAAATTAAAAACGATTAGACAAAATCTGTAAGACAGATCAACTAATGTACTTATATACACTCGTGTCTTAATTATACACTCTGTTGAATATAATTTGATTCATATTGAATCTATGGTTAAAACTCTGCTTTAATCTATGGTTCACTAGAGATTCCTAAAGTTACAGCTAAATTAAAAGGAAAAGAGAAATGCTGAATAGGTGAGTTTTTGAAGTTTCCACTATTTACTATTTATATTTTGGTTTAGGCTTAACTTGTTAAAATGTAATTGGATTGTCTATTCAACAAAATTATTCCAGATATGTAAAATCATTTGCTGTTATCAACAATGTATCTTTCATTTATACTTTTTTAGCTTTACAGAAACATGACCATTTGCTATAATTTAAAAATCTTTTTTAGATACGCATGAGAATGGTCTTGAACAACCAAAAGGGACCTGGAACAATTTATTTATTTTACTTATATATTTATTAGACTTGTTTGCTAGCCATCTCACCTATAGGCGACTCTGGGCTGCTTACATTAATAAACAACAAACCAGGAGGATGAGCTCACAGTCCAGTGAAAGATTTCCACATTAATCACAGCCATAAACACACTCAAAATAACCCTACAAGAGTCTATCCCAGACATCTACCAAGGACCTGTCCATTTAGAGTCCAAATCTGAATGAATTTATCTACCAGATAGCAAGATGTTCCTGTAGCTCTTTCTCCCCAGCAGGCAACGTCACCTTAAACAGGGCCATTGGCCAGCTGTGATGACATTTTTCACTATTCTTATTAATATGCTCTAAACTGAAATATGTGATTTTACTCATGCTGATTTAGACTCTTTGTCTTCCTTCAATGGCATCTCTTCTATGCTTCATCTCCTAGAGTTCCTTAGAGAACCAAGATATGGCCCAGAATCAGTGAACAAGGAGATGGGCAGATAAGAGAACTCTAGTGCAGGTCTTAGCCACTTACTGATTCCAATTAACAACTAAAACTTTGGCCAAGCTGTCCACCAAATCCCCAGGAAAGAGCCCTCTGAAACCCAACTAGTGCATCCATCATCTGGGCATACTAATCTAAAAGATCTCATCAGATCTATGACAACTCACCACAACCAACTCACTATGGCCAGCTTGCCATGGGACAATTCACCATGGCCAACTCGCCACAAGACAACTCGCAGTGGGATGAGAGTTACACTAATATTGAAGAAACAATGGAATAGAATAATTGAAGAAAGGATGCAAAAGGAAGGACAAAATGAAATGTGAATGACAAAAATAAAAAAAAACTATCTGAAATAATTAAATCGAATTGTTGAATTGTACTGCAGCAAGTTGTCCTGTGGCGAGTTGGTTGCAGTGAATTATCCCATTCCATGCAACTCCTGTGGTGAGTTGGCCATGGCAAGTTCTCCCACTGAGAGTTGGCCGTGGGAGTTGGTTGTGGCAAATTGGCTGTGGCGAGTGCTATAGTGGCCTTAGGAAGCCCCACCATAGCATTTCTTACTGGCCCACCTGCCTCAATCTTTCCAGCAACTTCCTCTCTCTTGTTTCCTGATATCTGTGTGAAAAGAGGGGAGTGGGCAGAATCTCTATGATGCCAACGCTGGCAATTCATAAGGCCTTCTGAATATCATAATAGCTGTTCCTCTCCTTCTCAAGACATATGAATAGTAATAGATATTTGAATCCGCAAATTCCAAACTGTGATGCCAAATCTAAATTATATGTAGCATTTCCAACTCTGAGCATCAACAACTGAAAATATTTAAGAGGCGACTTTTTGCTCACCTGATCATCTGAAATATTTTGAAATGCCTGAAGCATATTAGGACATGTAGGCAGTAGCATTAACAACTCCCAAACTCGCCTTGATAGATTTTCTGCATGAAGGTGGAGTTCTTCACATTTTGCACTCTGAAGACACAGGTAAAAAATATATCATGCATATACCAAAACATACATTAAATAAATTACAATAACAATTTTGTCACACAGATTGTAATAGAAGTTCTAATAAAATTTTTCTCACTGAATTCAAAAAGAGAATCAGTTTTTCTATCAGCCTTAATTATCTGGTGACCTTATCTTCTTTATTCTTTAAATTAGTTAAATTACAATACCATACAGTATTTTAACTATGGGGGCATATGTATCAGTAAAAATCTATTTATTACTGTTGTTCTTAAGCACAAATAACTTCCAATCAAAAGTAGAAGGCATGATAGCAAAAGTTGAATCATGTTTGAATTTGCTAGATATGTGTGCAACCTCTGTCTGGAGGTTCCTGGCAACCTGGTGCCACGGCTGAAAGTGAAAACAGTTTAAGCGCACATTCTCTATATTCAAGTTAAATATTAAATTTATTGTAATAGTTTTTTGCTTATCTACATACTGTTATCATGCCCCAAAACAGTGACAATCATCTTTATAGTTATTATACACTATTTATAACCACTATTTATAATTTATTGATAACTATTTATAATCTGAAATAACAGAAAACTAACCTTCAGATGGATGAAGAAACTAACATATCACAAAAATGTAATGCCAATTTTACTCATCAATATTGAAAGTAAGAGATTCGTGAATCTCTTAAATTTAATAGCAAAAGTTAACAATTATGTTTCCTATACACATACAGTATTTCATGAGCCATTGGATAGTATCCATCATCTTCTGAAATTAATCAACCCCCACACTTGTCCGCTATAGACTTCTGCAATATATGCCTAAATGCTACAATAAAGAAATTGCAGAAATGTGTATTTTTCCATCACATGACAGGGAATTTGGACAATTTTTAATTATGTTTTGAAATACAATTTCAGTTATTCAATGTTATTATTATTTTATTTTTTGTACCCATATCATCTGAGATTATGCAGCAATGCCTATTGTCCGACAGATTGTGGATAAACCTGCCATGTTTGTGCATGCATGGTTAAACATTGCATGAAACAGGGGTCACCAACCTTTGTGGCTTGGTGGCCTGGCTGGGGAGTGGGGAAGAGGGGAACCAGGCCATGCAAATGGCAGGCCAGCACACACAGCTCGACTGCAAGTGCAATGCGTAGCTTGACTCAAACAAGTGGTGGGCCGGCCTGCATACACAGCTTGACTGCATGTGGAGATGCCCATGCGTGTACAGCAGCCTGGCACCTGTTTATCTTGAGCTGCATGCATGTGCACTAGCCCACAGCCCGATTACAAATATATGGCCCGGTAGTGGACTGCGACCCAGGGATTGGGGGCCCCTTGCATAAAACACAATTTGTGCCCAAGAACCTTAATTAAAGTTACCTCACTATCTTCCATAGCCACTTCTGCAGGTGGAGGCTTAAAGGAGGCAAGCATTTCTAGTAAATCAAACAGGGTGGTAAGATGAGGTTCTTGCAGAAGTAAAAGCATTGGGATATTGTCCTTCTGAGGTGCTGGCAAGCAGGATGCTGGAAGCTGAACTCCTTCCCCTTTTCGCTCTCTCCTTGGAGCACCCAGGGACACAAAGACCATCTTGAGATAACAAGAGAAGATAATTTTATTTTTTAAAAAAGTAAGGAAGTTAGTATTATAAAAGCATCTGTATATAGGTGCCAATAGTATGCCTTCAACACACTGACTAGGGCAATGAGAAAGTTGTTCATGTAGAAATGAGAAGAAAAAGTGCAAGTCAACCCTCTGGCAAAGTACAAAAATTCTTTATGGCAATGGGCAATACTTCATCTTGCCATCTTTTACATTTTCCAATTGATCAACAGATATCTTTTTCTGCGCTTTTAATAGAGCTTTCTGCTAAAAGCTTTTCCACAGTATTTTATTTATAGATAGTCTTAACCTATCTACCACCTCCAGTGACTGAAAGTACAACAGTATTGAAAAAATAACTTTATAATCAGTGCCTTATTTATAACCTTCACAATGTTCCTTAGTCATGTACGTGATCACAGTTACAATTGGTATATGTTGCCCCATACCTGACTTGTTTTGATTTTCTTTCCTATCCTTGCAGAGCAGAGAAACTGTAGAGTGGAGTTTACAAGAGAATAAGCAGGCAAATAATGGGGAATATACCAGGCTGTTTGTATAGTGTGGCAGAGCTGCTGGTGCCAGCATATTGCTTTCAATGTGTATTTCTCATTGTGCATGCTTACTCTCTTGTAATCCCTTCCTCCCCAATATGTGGGGACAGGGGGGAAAAGCTATTTCAGTAGGCAATGTCTCTTGTGGTTGACTCATCTCCTCCTCCCCTTGCATAATGGAAAGATTGGCAAGGGAGCAATTAAGCACGAATAAGCCAGCCCACAAAGGGAATTATTGGACTTTTTATATAGAATGCAGTTGCCAACACCAGCACACTGCTTTCCATATATGTTCCCCATTGTGGGTCTGCTTACTCTTTTATAATCACTTTCTCTCTAATTATTCTAAATACAATATTATTTCCCCCTTTGTTGATTATCTCAGGGCAAGGGAGAGGTTTCCAAAGGGCCGAAGAGTAGTTAGGAAACAAACAAAAGCCAAAAGCGAAAATTATTAGTTTTGAGCCTGCTATTCCCAGAGCCACGGGCGAGCATTCCAAAAGGCAGCAGAATGAGGAAAAGCAGTTGTGGTCACATGATTCCCTACTTAGCAACCACTTTGCTTAGTGATTGAGTTGCCAATTCCAATTGTAATGGTTAAGATGCTGACCCAGAAACAAGGGGACCACGCGTTCTAGTTCCACCTTAGGTTCAAAAGCCAGGTGGGTAACTTTGGGTAACATTCTGTCAGTCCAACTCACCTCGTAGAATTCTCGTTGTGGGAAAAATAGGAAGGAGTATTACGTATGGTTGTAGCCTTGAGTTATTTATAAAGTAATAAAGGTGCGATAAAAATCTAACAAATAAGTAAATATAAATAATTTATTATCTCTACAGAATGCTTTATTATCACCACTGAATATTTATCAATACCTGCATATCTTTAAACCCCAATTCATGAAGAGTTTTTTCATCATAGTCAGTTGTTAGTTCATGTCCAGAAGAAATCATTCTTACAGGCCCCATGAGACCTCCTAAAAATGAAAACAAATTTGTTTTCAGTATTTTGTCTTGTACTCTAATTAGATTATCTAATGACAATCATTTTACAGAACTATAGAAATAATAGTTTTTATATTATTTTATTCATTCACTCACTAATTCACTAATTCATATACTAAATTGAGAAAAACACTAAAAGTCTTTTTTTTTAATATGAACATGGTCTAAAAATAGAGACAAAATTAAACCTACCACCCAATTCAAATTGGATTGAAAATCACTCAGAAAAATATTTTAAAATGTACCTGGAAAATCTCCTTTTCTACTGATTTGACCAAATTCTTGCAGATGTGCTTGCTGATTCAGCTGTTCTTTCTGCAAATTTTCATACCAATGCGTAACCTCAGCTCTTAGATCTGCCACCTGATCACTTGGATACATTTCAATGGTCATCTGGAACAGAACATATACATTTAATTTATTTCTCAGATAAGAAAAACAAAGGTTTAAAGCAACATATGGGATGAAAGCAAATTAAAATGTACTTTGTCAGGAAGTCCAGCTGGTTGACAAACAATTCTGAGAGGAAGTGATTGTTTATCACTCAATGCTTTTAAATGGCTGCTGATACCAGTGCCTTCTATTTGCCATTGTCTCAGATGATATGCAAACCTGAAAAAGTATTATAAAAAGGGAAAACAATGACAAACTATTTCTTCTGAGCAAATGTATGGAAATGTACATGTCTATCTGTTCAAGATGAAATTAACAGGCTGAGCTCATATACAAAGAAAAGTGACTATGAATTTCTTAGTATTTTAGGTTTGGTGAGGTTTATAAACTTTTGTCAGGATCTAAAGAACTATAAATATAATTTCACGGCCTCAATGTTTCAATCTTATTTTAAAAGTAGGTTATTCCACACTACATAGCAAACCAAAGGATATTCCAAAGCTAGGATGATTTTTACCAGCGGCCCCCAATCTTTTGGGCACCAAGGGCCGATTCCACAGAGAAAGGTTTTTCCATGGACTGGAGCGGGCTTGATTTCACATACTGCCTGCATCCTGTGGATGGGGCTTTGCTTCTTTTGCACAGCCCAGTTTCTGGCAGGCCTTGGCCTGGTGCTGGTCCATGGATCGGAATCTGCGGACCCCTAATTTATATCACAGGCAAGTTTCTCTCTCTCTCTCTCCATAGTATCTTTTATTGCAGCCCTACCCCCAGTCCTTGAAAATAATCCACTTCGCATTTGTAACAAAATTTTCAGAATTTCTTTTTGAAAATCCTAACTAAAAGCAATTAAAAAATACATTAATATTGAGATCACAAAAAGAATGTTCATAACTGCCAGCCATTTTCCTGAAATACTACTTTTTGAATAAACAATATTAGGATATAGTTTACCTTCTCCGAAATGCTTCTAAATGAGTTTTAAGCATGAGAAGTCCTCGTTCAATAATGGTAAGACTGGAATGAGAATCTTGCTCTAGATTACTAGATGCAATCATTAGGCTTTCCATGCACTTGCTAATGAATTCCTGTTCTTTCTCCAGACCTGTTTTACCTAAGAATTAAAAATAAATGAACTAGATTAAAAAAAAATCCTGTTTAAATTTCTTTATTTCCATAAGAAAAAAAGGTAATGTTATAAAGTATTTTGTTTGGAATTCTAAGCCCAGAATTTTCAAATAAATTCTCATACCATTAATATAATAGGAGTTAATGTATTGTATAGCTGCCCGGCTCACATCTCCAGACTGTGCTCTTAAAGCAATGCCCCAGAATTGGTCCATACCACACAACTGTAGAACAAAAAAGAAAAAAGAAAAATTAATATAGCTGACAGTTGACAATTTCTGTCCAAGAGTCAAGTAAAATTAACTACCCTATCTTCCTGACATCTTCATCAGTATCACTGGTAAGGATTTTAATGTACTTCAAAGGAAAGTACATAGTGATATGAGAAAATAAGTACACCCTGACAACCTCACTGAAATTATTTCCTTTTTTAACATACAGATACCTGATCTTCATTTCAACAATATTGATAAAGGAATGTAATATAACAAATATCATGCACCGTTTACATTTTGTAGTCCATTGTGTAATTTAATTTTGGATCAGATCAGGGGTAAATGTTGAAGTGGGTGGGGCTTGATCAAAAAAATTCTGAGATCTTCAAAAATGTTATAGATGCCTGAGTTTGGAAAGGGATGTCAAACATTTGCTGAATAATTAGATATTAATTATTCCACTGTCTAGAAGATCATATACAAGTGAAGATGATTTCAAATAACTGCCAAATTGCTCATGTCAGACCATCCCAGCAAATTCACACATATGAAAGAACCCTCTATAAACTCCAGAATTTCATCACGTGAGTTCTGATAGCTCTCACCACTAGCGAAGTCAAAATGGCCTTTCTACCGTTAGAAAGAAGCAACACAAATTAGATCTACTTGAAAAGTACGCCAGGAGGAAACCTCAGCTGTCCAGAAAGAACACTAGGACAAGACCAAAGTTTGTTCATGAACACTTAGATGAAGACCAGGATTTCTTGAACGATGTGTTTTGGACAAATGAGGCAAAGATGAAGTAATTTGGAAATAGTACCAGATAACATGTTTGGTGAAAACTAAAGGGAGCATGTCTCATAAGAATCAGATACAACTCAAAAGCATGGTGGTAGAAATGTTCCTCTGTTGCATTAGGGCCTGGACAGTAAAGAATACAAGGCTGCATCCTCTCTCCTTTTTGTTCAGCCTATATGCTGAATATATATATTAAGGGAAGCTAGACTGAAAGAAGAGAAGCCTGGTATCAAAATTGGAGAAAGTTAGACCAATAACCTGCAGTATACTCTGAGAGCAAAAAAAGGATAAGGAGCAAAATGAAAAAAAAAAAAGAGATTAAAGTTAAATATAAAGACCAAACTAATTACAAAAAGTAGAATAACCAACTTTAGAATTGGCAATGAAGGCACCAAGGTGGTAGCTAGTTTGTGCTTTTTAGGATCAACCATCAACGGTAAAAGAACAGACAAAAAATACGTCACAGACTAACAGTTGCTGGAGCAGCCATAAAGGTCTTGGGAAAGGTATTCAAATGCTGTGATGTCTCTAACATTGATTTGGAAGACTGGGAAAGAATTTGGAAAAAGAATTACATGATAACGAAATTGGCGGTATATAAAGAGAATCAATATAAAATGTGTTATCAGTGGTATCTGGCTCCTTCGAGATTAGTCAACATGTACCCAATCTAAGCCCAAGCTGCTGGAAATGCAAACAGACAGGGGGCACCTTCTTCCAAGTATGGTGGTTTTGCCTGAAAATTAAGAAATATTGGATAAAAATACAAACATGGATAAAAGAAATTACGACCTTTCAATGAGAACTCAAAGCAGCAATTTTTCTATTGGGGATAATAAAAGGTGACTGCATAAAAGAGATACAACATTTAATTTTGCATATAATCACTGCAGTGAGACTAGCACTCGCAGAGTGTTAGAAAGGATACCTCATGCCAACAAAGTTTAATAATCCAAAAAATCTATGATTGCGCTAAAATGGATAAATTTACTCTAAAATTAAAAGAAGAGGAAGACTCAAAAATATTATACAGTCTGGGAAAACTGGTACAAATGGACAAATAATAGAAACCAACAAGTAAATAAATAAGGAAGGAATAGTTTAAAGAGGTTAACGTATGAGTAATAACCAGAAATGTGAAATAGGTATTGGAATAACATTTGGTATATAAGCAAAGTCAAATTGATTTGTAATGTATACACTTTTTTTCGTTTTAACAACATGTATTGTATTTTGTATTTATCTTTTTAAAGTTTAATAAAGTTTTTTTTAATAAAAAAAAAAGCTCCATATCATATGATCAGAATCATACACGCCATTGCATTCTCTATAATACACTTATGTCTGGCTTTAAAAACAATTACAAAATATTTAATTCAAATAAAAATCTTCTTACCTAATTACAGGAATGACTGGACAATGATGTAGTCAAATGATACTGTTCACTAAGCAATTGCTTATTAAAATGTATCTTATTAAAGAGACGTGTTAATATCAATAAAAGAGAATATTTGTAGTTCATGGCTGAGCTATGGGGTCCTTAGTGCTCCATGAGTGTGGTTGTTTTCATAAAGATGTTTCATTTCCCAACTAGGTAACATCATCAGTGCTAAAATGAAGTGGGTTGTTTATATGCTAGTGGTTTGCCCTGTCAATGTTGGTGGGAGTTATTTCTGATGGTTCCTTGACTAGGTGGCTGTTTATTGTTTGCTTGTCTGAGTTGGTAGTTCCTTGATTAGGATATTATTTATTGCTTGATTGTTGATTTAGTACCAGTATTAGTCTTGGTGTTAATCTCTGCTTATCTAAGCAGTGATTGCTGAAGGGAAGGTACTTTGACCTCTGTGTTTCCTTCTTTTTTGGCTTCTTGATTGTCTTTCAAATATTATGTAGATGTTGTTTATCTCTACATGCCTGTTGATGACTTCCAGGAATTCTCTTAGGTTTTTTGCGTCTAGGACAGAGGTGTCAAACTCACGTCGTCACAGCAGTGTCATGTACATAATCGGGACTTTTGTCCCCTTCGCTAAACCGGGAGTGGGCATGGTCAGCGCGTGATGCATCCAGCCCGCGGGCCAGGAGTTTGACAGCTCTGGTCTAGGATATTCAGAGTTTCTCAGTAGTTAAGTTAAGTTTGGTTAAGTCTGTCCACATGTTTAAAATTAAGTAGTTTTCATCATCTGACTGCTAGTTAGTGTTCATGGATGGACTCTACTAGTCTTCTGCCTGATTGTCCTACAGACGAATTGCCAAGAACACTCCCACCAATATTGGTAGGGCAAATCATTAGAATATAAATAGAGAACAAACCTCACTCCCTTCTAGCACTGATGGCATTATCTGGTTGGGTAATGAAACACCTGCAGGAAAACAACCAATCTCAGAAAACACCAAGGACCCAACAGACATACTAATTTTATAAAAAAATGAAACAGTCAGTCAGTACATTTGCTTACCTCTGAGTTTGAACCACCATCATATGCACTAGTAGCCAATCGAGCCAAGTTACATAAATGCTGAAACAAGTTTAATCCAGTCATGCTAATTGTTTCAGGCTTCAGCTGAGGCATCTAAGAAAAAAAAAGAATTATCTTTTTAAAGCTTGTACTCAATAGAAATAACTGAATATGTAGCACAGATCAAATCTACTTTACCTTTTCTAAAAAAAGATGCTTGTAGGTTTCCATTCCCATAGCATGCTGATCTTTACTTCTTACTTGATTTAAGAACCAATGTAGAGCATCATCATAACATTCAGAATCTTCAACTAAGCAGTGCCATAGTACATCAACTTGTTCCAGACTCAACCCTAAAAATTCAAATATATTTTATTTATGAAATTTGCTACACTTTTTATTTGGATTATAATAATTCTCCAATGAGCTATAATTTGGATTAATATCGCTCTTCTCTGCAATTCAAAATCAGAACAACAAAAATCAATAGCAGTATAGGTTCAATAAAAATCCTAAGTTAGCTTTTATTTTTCTAATCAGTGAACTTCTGATAAACATACATTGTCATGGCGATGTGTCCTGTCCATCAGGTTCAGTTTTGGTGTACTGGACCATGTTTGGAGAAGGAGGGTAGGCTGCTCCACCCCACAGAATCCCTAGGCTGCATGGCTCCATCCCAGAAGCAGATGCCATTTTTGGAGTGGCTGCCCTGCAACAACACTGTGCTGATTTGAAATGTTGCCCACTTCCAGGGCAGAGTCACTTGGCCTACAGATGGTGCAAAGTAGATTAGCACGCTATCCTTCCCTAATATGACCTCTGGAGATCTTTCAAAAGTGCAAGATTGATGATGGGAGTATGTGAAAGTGTGGGGTGGGAAGCAGGTCCAAGGCTGCAAAGACCTTGAGGGATGAGAAGCAAAGCATAGGATGGCTGCAGGTACAGGAGACCTTGGGAGGCTAAGGGCAGGTGGGTCTTGCTAGACCTCCCCCACCTGAAGCATCGCATGCACCACTTAATGAAGCACTGGGGAGAACAGGAGTGGGAATCACTAAGCAGTCACATGGGCTCTTTGCTTATTGACCATCAAGACTTGCAGCCATAAGAGACAGGCTCCATTGTGTTGTAACCTGAGGACTACCTGTAAACTGTAGAATCTGCTCCCTCGAGTTGTGACTTAGACCAATTTAGATTATAGGGAAACTGGAAAAATTCATGGAAGATTGAGCTATGAGTGTCTACCAGTACTGATGGCTATTTATTACCTTCAGAATCACAGATGCCATGCCTTGTTTTCCAGCTGCTAGGGAGCAACAAAAGAAGAGACCTATCACTTTTATGTCCCTATGTTGACTTGGTCCTGCAATAGCACCATTTTAAGACTATATTGTGTGCTTCCAACTCATTAGCTGATCCACAATATAGTTGTAAACAGTATCAAAAGTCCTCCCCTCAATCAAAGTGTTTCAAGAATTACATTCCTCAAAGAAGTCATCCATCAATTTGACAAAGAGCCAGTTTGGTGTCAAACTCAAGGCCCGTGGGCCGATGAGGCCAAATCCGGCCCGCATGGCCATCCTGGAAACTGTAAGGGGCCGGTCCATGCCATTCCGGCATGAGTGCACTCACACAGGCTCAGTTATCCATCGCCGCATGCAGGGAAACTACTCTGTGGGACTACAGTAAAAAATATAGTTCAGACCTTCCAAACTCACCAGATTTTTTTTTTTTTTCATGAGAAACAGACTAGTGGCTCTGCACGCCGGCGGAGAACAGAGCCAGAAAACAGGTTAGTGAATGGATGTGGCTGCCCTGCGTGAGAGTGAGTGAGTGAGAGAGAGACCTACTACACCTACTATCTGGGTCTCACTGTTTTTCTCCTTGTTCCCCCCCCCCCCCACTCAAATGAGAGACAACAGGGCCTCTCATTTCTCCCCTGGCACGGAGAACTACAACTTCACTCAGGTCATTTAAGCTGCTGGCGGTGGTGACCACCTAAGCGGCTATGATTCCCCCCTCCCCAACCAGCCAGCCAGTATCGCCAGCCAGCACTGCCTGACTTGCTCCCTGGCCAGCTAGCTGGCACAAAGCCTCACCGTTCTTCTCATTGTTGTTGTCCTGGCCAAGTGGCAGCAAGCTCCGCGGGACAGGGTTTTATTCCTGCCCTGGCACAGCAAACTCCAGCAGGTTGGAAGCAGGTGTGAAGGGCCTGGCCCCACAGTGCTTCCTCACTTAGTTGAAGGCTTCGTTCAGCTTTCAAAGAGTAAGGCTGGCATATGCAAGTGAGTAGCGCACCAGGGCCACGGACGACATTGGTTCCTGCACCTTGCCAGTTCTGTTTACATAGCCAGCCTTACTGCGTCAGGGCAGGAATGAGACCTTGTCCTGCAGAGCCCGCTGCTGGCTTGGGCAGGGAGGACAACGATGGCAAGCATGGTGAGGCTTTGGCCAGCCAGCTGGCCAGGTAGGGAGCAGGTTAGGCAGTGCTGGCTGGCTGGTTGGGGAGGGGGGAATCATTGTTCACATACATACACACACACAGAGAGAGAGAGAGAGAGAGAGAGAGAGAGAGAGAGAGAGAGAGAGATTGGAGAACTCTCTTGCTCTCTCTCTGTCTCGCTGTGGCGGCAGTTGTGGGGCATGGGGGGCAGCTTCATACCCCCCTTGTTTTGTCCTCTACCCCCCACTGCCTCACTGCTCAGGTGGCTGCTGCTGCCGGCGCCACTACCAACAGCTTGGGTGCCTGGCTGAAGTATGGATCGTTCACTCTCTCCCATACACACACACAAACAGAGGTTGCATGGGATTGCTCTCTGTCTCGCCCCATTTGCATACATGCATGCTCTGTGGGACAAAGAAGTCTCATTAAGTAGTTAAGTGGAAAGTAGTTGGGGGAAAGGAGCAAGAGACTGACAAACACTTTTCATACCAAGAATGAATGCTTCTGGGTCCCTGACTCTCTGCAAAAGAGGATGGGTGCCTGAATCTATTATAACACCTAAGGGTGTCTATTCTCGGCACAAAAAGCAGTTCTAAGTCAAGTCTCCTCTCCCTTCCTCAAAGGCAAAGAAACAGCAGCAGGGGAGATACAGATGTTTGTAAGGTAAGTAAATCCTTGTGGCAGGAAGGGAGGGAGAAGCATGAGATATCATAGTGGATCGGAGGCCTTGAGGACCTGTTCTATCACTAGGCCTCCCCATGGCCTTCCCCACCCTAAGATACCTCATGTGCACTTAATGGCCCATTGGTGTTCTTGAATTGTGAGCTCTTACGAAAGTACCCCCTCCTTGTGTGTTGCAAACAGTTATTTCCAGTGGGGAAACCAGGACAAAGCAAGTGGGGAAAAATATTTTCCTTTGCTATATTTCTAGTCTGAATTAGACCATGGCAACAGGAGAGTCCTTTTAAGGATTATGTATTACTAGAAAAGCAACTAACTTATCTCTGCTCTTAAACGCTAAAGCTGTTGCACATAAAAAACAGAGGAGCTCTGATCAAGTATCAGAGACATCATTTTGACAGTTTTGCTGTATTGTTGTCTGTGGACACCTCCATGAAATGCACGCATGGGATAACTGAGCCTGTTTTGTTCTCAATCTTATAAGTGGCCACAAACTACTAGCAAAAGTGGCATTTGATCACAAGGTGAGAAGGCATCAAGAAATGTTTCCCCTTTTGCATTTGAGCATCCAAGAAGGGACAGGAAAGACAAAGAAAAAGAAGGAAAGAGGGGAAGGAAGAAGAAAAAGGAAAGGAAGGAAGATTATAATTAGAGTGAGGGTCTGAGGTAAATTCTGCCTTAGCACTTGGCCACCAGCAGTCCTGCTACCTTTTCCCATCCCCTTGTCCCCTCCTCCTGATCTCTCCTGGTAGTCTCCCATCCTACCACTGAGGATGCTTTAGTTAGAAAGCTGGGTCTCCTTGTAAGGAGATGGAGTGGGCCTCCCTCTGACCACACACTTTGCCCTCCTGCACACACCATGAGTAACCTGGCTAAGGAGAGTGAGCACAGCAGCAGTGGGAGCTGGCCACCCCCACCATGCCCACGCCCACCACAGCCATGCCCACCATGCCCCCCGAAGTCAACCACAAACCTGATGCGGCCCTCAATGAAATTGAGTTTGACACCCCTAGTCTAGTGGTTAAGACACCAGACTAGAAATTGGGAGGCTGTGAGTTCAAATCCCTCCTTAGCCATGAAAACCAGTTAGATGACCTTAGGCCAATCAACTCTCTCTCATGGTGGTTGCTGGGGGTAAAATAGCCTTCAGTTATTAAAGGAGAATAAAAGGAGAAAAAAGGAAGAGAACCCAGTATTTAATAAGAAGGGATAGTCAATTTTTTAAGAATGTCTAAAGCTGCATGTCTGCCAACCCCTTGAATATTTTGCAAAGCAGCATATTATTGCTAAGCAATAGATATTAAGCATCAATATTGTGAGTTAAAAAGCATAGTTCTTCCCCCTCATTCAGAGAAATTAATATTTCACATCATAAAGTGAATTCAGTCAACTCTTCCCAACTAGATTGAATCAGCCATAAAGGATAGTCATTAAGAAAATACGTACTTGGGCAAAACTTTATATTCTAAACAAATGCTCAGGGTTCAATCCTGTAACACAGACTAAATGGGGCTTCAGACAGTTCATGTGGAATTGCACAAACTTGAATATAAATGCTTTTCCCCACTAAAAAGCTATGCCAATATCACATAGTAGGTGGCTTGTCACTTGAAAATTAGATGTCAGCAAATAAAATTTCTTATGATGCCTTTGCAACCATAGAATAGGTGCAAGTGGTATGAGTCATTCTCAATCCAACATTTCAAGCCACTTACTCTCTAGTTTTCTATCTTGACTTGCTGTCTACAGATTCTCTGGAAAATCAAATACCTATCTAAAGTCAATGAATAAGAAAAATAATTGATGGTGTCAGGAATGACTGTGTTCATGCCTTTTCCTATCTTGTCATTTCACAGCAAAATTCAGAATCTGATGCAAACATAGCAACATAATCCAGAAAACCTGTACCACCATACAAAATTCATTCTCAAATTCTTTGAGCTTCATAAATCTGAAGAAATAATTGTTATCCCTAATTGGTAAAGAACCTTTAAGATGCAGAACCCACTATTACAGCATCCCCAAAATATGCCTATCCAGGCTCTTTAAACATCTTTGCTGAATGAAACTCCCCGACTGAAAATTCCTCAACAGCTCCTTACTATTACAAATTCTTTCCTACATTCTAAAAAAATTATCAATTTTCTTCTAATTTAAAACTATTGTCTTTATACTGTCTCTTGGAACAATTCTGAACAATTAAGCTTTGTCTTTTTTATGACAGATGTTCATATTTTTAAAATCTTTATCATTTTCTTTGCAATTGCCTCAGCCACAGGCTAAACATATCCAATACTTCATCATAGGCTTTCATTTCCCAGCATATATCATCTTGTGTCATGCCCCTGGTGGAGACTGAGCAGTCAGAGGAGGACCCTGGCCCTTCGCCTATCCATCCTAGGGCACACAGGGAGGAGAGAATCACAGTAAAATGTGGTCTACTTGGGAGGAGAGGGCCATGATCCTCTTCATGGGTTGCAGGTGTGAGATTTGAATAAGAGTTTGGACCTGGTGCTAACAAACGCTGGAGACAATTTAGTGTTTAATTCCTAAAGAAGGTTTATCTTGGCTGGTGTTCTTCCAACGGACTGTACCTGGTTATTTTCCTGAAGTTGGCAATTATCTATCCTGGTCTGTCGAGGAACTTTATTCAGTGTGTTTTGTTTTTGTTTTTTGCTTCGTTATCGGCTCTTTGAATTTGAACTGTGTTTCTTTCCTTTGAAATGTTATTTTGAAAATAGTTTACTCCTCCACTGTGAACAATTAAACAGTGAAGCCAAGTTGAAGGCATTAAAGGACTTTTATTTACGTTTTGATTTTTGTTATAATTCTGATATACTCTGGGTCATCACATCTTGATTGCTATCTTCTGGACAGGCTTCAGTTTATCACTGTCCTTCCTAAAATGCAATGGCCAGAACTGGATGCTATATTTTAGATGTAGACTAATGCAGAAAAGAAAAAACAATGACTTATTTGATCTTTACATAATACTTCTACTTATGCAGCCTAGATTGTATTTGCTTTATTTGCTGAAGCTGTATCATACTTTTGGCCCAATAAATATGAATCCAGATTCTCTTTGCATCATTGCTATCCAGTAATCCCTTGATTGATTGATTGGTTGGTTGATTCATTCTTTCTTTCCTTTCTCTCTCCCTTTCTTCCTCTCTTCTATTCTTTCTCTTTCTTGTCCATCTGTCCGCCTGCCCGCCTACCTACCTACCTACCTACCTATCATAAACCTGGGCTGGTTGGTGAATGCCCAACTGCAATGGGGAGCACTGGAACTTTGGAATCAGGTTGTAACTACATTTTGGGTTGTAATTCCAAATAGTTGCTAAGCAACCCATTGTAAGCCATGATGAACTACTTGTACTTAGTTTGTAGTACAATAAGCATTCTGAATGCCTCTCCTTAAATATTTCTTTACAAAATAAAAATCTTCAAGACAAAAAACAGAAAATTATTTTTTTTTTAAATTAAGATATAGTGAGAACTTACTGAAATGATCTGGTGATCCCAAAGTGGAAAATACACATGTCAGAAACTGAAGACGCACCTGAACTTCTGCACTATGGCTGTATCTATAATTGAAATTAGTAAAAGCAATTAGTAAACCTTAAGACAGCTTAATATTTCTTCAAATTAAATTAGACTAATACATCTCATCTTTTCTGAGGGTTGTCTTACCCTCATTAACAGATGAAAAAATGGTTATTACAAATGTTGAAAAAAATGAAATCGTTTAAATTTGACTGCTGTAGACCTCACAGACATTTTTTTCAGGTTTCGTGACAAAAAAGGTAGAGGAATTAAAATCAAAAAGAGAATTTTAATTTGTCCATTGTAAAACTTATTATCAAATCATCTTTTGAATCGAAGTTAAAACAAAACATTATTGTAGGATTCAGATTTTTTTTTCATCATGCCTGGACTAGTAATATGTTTCCAGTTGGGTAAAACACCTTAGTTTCCCCAGCTTTCATGGATTAAAGAGTACATGGTGATATATAGCAACAATATAGAAATGCGACCAAAACAGACAAAGTAAAATTCATATGGGGGATATTTTGTAAAGTAAAATATAAAATAGAACAATTTTTTATTACAGTCATAGACCAGCATACATATAAAATATTAATCTGCTTCATTTCTATTTTGTTAAATAAACAAAAATCACAATGTTGAGTATTGAGGATTGCTGCTAAATTTCTGCACTTTAATGTTCAGTGACATCAAAAAAGAGCATTGGAGGTGAATGTGGCCTAAAAGACATATCCCCCCCACCGCCCGCCCGCCCGCCAATAGAGTATACACCAAATATTGTTATGTGTTTCTTTGTCATATAAGACCGGGAGAACATACGTGCTGGTTACATTAACCTGAAATAACCTTTTTATGAAGCTAAGACTAATACATTATGACCATAGGTTTTCCTCCATTTGCTGGGTTAAGGTGAGATGAATGTGGGGGCTGCAGGGGAAACTTTTGACTATAATACCAGGTGTTTTGGTTTTGATATTTTTATTTTAAGTAGATGTTTTATATTTTGGTTGTGAGGTACCCAACTTTGTCAGTCCTGAAGACAAAGGGTGGTTATTTAAATGTTTTAAATAAAAATATACTACTATCACATGGAAACTTTAAGAAATGTTATTCAAAATAGTTTCAATTATTAATGAACATATATTCAGTATACATTTACTGAATTTGTATCTCACATTATAAAAGACAACAGGGAATCTGCTGTGAATATAATCCCCAAATGATAAACGACTTATTCTTTCGCTTTAATTTCCATACTATCTTTTACCTTTCTCCTATTCCAATATAAACATTGCCAAAAATAAACAATTTCAATCAACGGTCAGCAATCAGCAATCAGCATAAAATAGTATGGTATAAATTAGTCATAATTTTATAGCAGAAGCAAATATTAATGGATATTGGAACTGTACACTGCCACAGTATAATTTTATCAATGCCATCTTAAAATGCCAAATTCTATTTTGCAACAGAATTCCTTTTTCCATTTACCAAAAGTGCTAGTACGTCTCTGAAGAAAAATGGTGGAAGTGGATAGGCATCAGTAAGTCAGATGCTGAAATTATTCTGACCAATCAAATGAATTTGAATTTAGCAAGGCCAAGGAGAATAATGGTAGTTCAAAATATTAAATTATGAACAGACAAAAATGGGCAAGAGCCTTACCCTCCAGAATCATACTTACAATGTGTGTTTATGCCGTCTTTCTCTGACTGCTTGAATGTAGTGTATCAAATTATCAAAGAAAAGCTTCATCATATTAAGTTCTTTTTCAGCCCACCTGTTTCAATGTAAGAGTTCATATCATTTAATGGGAATTATAGGGGGGAACCATTATGTAAGTCATACACACCCACATACATACTGCATTTAATAAGATTTCTTAGATGGTTCATAATATTTCTTAAATATTAGGTTTAAGGTTGCTATGTATGATGTGCCATAACTCTACCCACTTTTTGGCACAACATTTGTTCCATTCATTACATCCACTACTAGACATGATATGACAGATTTATCTTGTGAGAGCATGCAGTATTCAATGCCTTCTTGCAAGTCTGGCACACATCCATGCAAAATTTTGTTTTTGCATAATTGATAAGTAGAAGCTGAGAATAAGACTGTTCTATAGGAAGATATATCCCATAAGAGAAAGGGAGGGTGGCAGTTAAGATGGTAAAAGGAGGTGATTTTAAAAAGCAAGCTATATGCTGGGTAAAAGAGCAAGGAGGTATGAAGGCTGGCAACCTTCTAGGATCTAGGGAACACTGGCTATCAATTATCATTAGTTATCGTTTAAATGATCTTAAGTTGGACTGGGCAGTATTCCATTGCTGAAGACGTTTTTATTCAAGGAGGGCTTTGGGGGAAAGAACTCTGCAGCATTTATGAATGGGAGGTTCTGAAGATCAATTGAACAATTGAGGATCATATTGGATTAGCATATTTATCCTCTTTCTTATCTCTAAATTTAATATAGGTAATGTAAAAGTAGAGCAGTACACTTTCTAATGGTATAACTCCAGCACAGCTTTCAACCTTAACAGAATACACGAACCCCTTCCCGGTAACACATGGAAGGGCAAACAGTGCACATATATATGTCAAGCTATTTATTAGATGTTTCTTTCCTGCCTTTATTACTTTAGAAGTAACTCAAGGCAGCAAACATATAATACTCCTTCTTCCTCCTATTTTCCCCACAACAATCTTGTGAGGTGGGTTGGGCTGAATGTGACTGGCTCAAATTAACCTAGTCATCTTTTATGCCTAAGGTGGCACTAGAACACACAGTCTCTTGGTTTCTAGGCCAGCACCTTAACCACTAAGCCAAATTGGTTCTTATACATGATAGAATGCATACATTTACAGGTAGAGAACACTTATTCTGCATACTGGTTATGTGCCATCAAGTTGTTGCTGACTTTTAGTGACCACATAAACAAGACAGATGCTGCATAGAATTCAGAAGGAAAAGAATTCTTTCCAAGACATTTTAAAAGTCAAGCCATGGTAGGTTAGCAGCCAAATGGAACATAGTATGTAATCTAGTTGTAAATATAACTTTTAACAAGACATCATACTGAAAATATAACTAAAGAGTAAGAGAACTGAAAGTAAATACTGTTGGATCTCTTAATGAGAGAGAAAAATTGCATCCAGAGGGGTTCAGCATCAAAATCTGTGAACTTACAAAAATTAATGACATTCCTCACCACAGCTTATTCATCTATTACCAAGACTGGTTTTAACACTTTCATTATTCAAAAAGATCTTGTGGATATAATTAAATAAACATGGAATAAATTAATATTATGCCATACATAATTGCTAGAGAGCTAGCTTCACATTTTCTATTGTTATTTCCTTGAGACCTAATTATTTATATCACAATATTTCCAGGGTTTTATTAGGTCAGGGTTGACTCCTGGAAACTGCTTGGACTAGTTCTTGGAGATCTCTTGGCACTCCATTTATAATTAAATGAATCAGCAAATGTTTTGAAGTTATATTCAAAATAAAATGAAATGGATTTTAAAATTCTTAGCATTTTTGAAAGGAATGCCTGTATGATTCCTAATAAGGAATCATATTCAGCTTCTTTTGCTATGCCTTACTTGTACTTACATGGTAATCCAATGTGTATCGTAACTGCTCCCAAATTGTTGAAATGTACCAAATAATTTTGGGAGAAGACGAAGAGAAACTACAACTGATCTAAGAATGAAAGAAAATTAGATACAAATCAACACTTGCATCATGATGATCTTTAATTTATAGCCTTTACATTAACATTATCATATGGTTATATTTAAAGAAAAAAAATTAGTGAAGAACTAATTCCTGTAGTTTAAGGCTAATTATTTATTTATATTTACTTATGTATCATATTTAGAAATTGCCCATGTCCCTCATAGAGCAACTCTGGGTCGTTTATTTACCTATTATTTGCTAAATTTTCAAGACAGCCTTCGATGAACCTCATACGAATTTGTCTATCAGTAAACCAACATACTAGTGAACATAACAGCTTCTCTGCTTCATTTATTAAACCTTCAGAAAGATGTATCTAGAGCAAGTAAGAAAAGAGTTATTGACAATTATTATTACTTTTTCTTTGGAAAATATTCTTGTGTGATATTTAACTTACTGCATCTTCATCCTGGACCAGATCCCACAAAAGGGTATTTCCCTTCTTACAAACATTATCCAAGTTAATATCTGTCACTGCGTTGCTGTTGTACTGGTGCTTATGAACTGCTGGTCCTGAGCAAAAGACAGGCGTTATTAAAAATATAGAATGTATATCCTGACTTGAGCGGAGTCTGTCCATGAATACCTGTAAATAATTGTTTAATATACAACCCTATAAACTTGAAGAAAGTCAGGCTACTGGGGGACTAAATATGGGCAAATGCAGTTAATTTTATTAAAAATATTATATGTTTGGGAATTCTTTGCCTCTTTAAAATTTATTATGAATCGTTATGGTACAAACATATGAATCTTATGTATTTTTCTTTCTTGGCAAAACTGTATAGTTTTTAAGCAACAGGTATTATGCACAACTCATTTTTAGAATAAACAAAAGGATTTGTGCATGATCCAAATCTTTTCTTGTATGCAAAGGAGTTCCATCCGATTATATCATATGTAATCATTATCCACAAAGACCACTGGATGGGATATCGCTGCAATCCAAACCACAGGGCTTATTTCTGTGCATGTACAAGGCATACACTTGCCTAACCCTCTCCTACATATAGCTTTAATCATAACACAGGATGCATGATAAAACATCTTTTTTTTTTTTTACTATTTTTGGTTTAATCAGAATCATACCTATCACTCCCTTTCTCCCCAATTAAGAGGCAGCATGTATCAGAAAAAAGCATAATGAAAACATCCAGAAGTTCAAAACAAGGCAATAACTGTGGAGCTGCAGACCTGACACTACTCCAGTCTTTAGATAAGGTCCAAGATGATGCTTGAATGATATGTTTTTTCCTGTAGTTTTAGACGGATACATATTTTTAACAATCCATAAATGTGCTTATGCTATACTTACTTCACAGTAGAAGCTGTATCGCTATTGGGATGCAGCCCCCTTAGGTTTTGGTGTTGGTATTGCAGTGATTCCTGAACTGTTCAAAGTTTAATTTTATCTACAACATTGTAATTTTGAGTATGTATAACCCAATGAAAATTTGGCAACAGGCTAAAATATTGTCAAAGTACTACTACTGGAAGCCAAATACATTTCTTAAACTATTTGAATAATTTGTATTTGTATTGATGTTATTATTTAAAAGGTAAATCTAAAACACTTCTCTTCTTTAAAATTTTAACACAGGTTACTTTTACTTTTACCTTTATATAAATAATAAAGGAAGTTGTGGTGTAATGTAGTCTGGAGTCTCAGGAGTGAAGGGCTATTTCCCAGAGGGCAAAGAGGCAGAAGAACTTGCAAAGTCTGGTAGGCAAGGAAAGGGTTAAGATCAGTGGTGGGATTCAATTTTTTTTACTACCAGTTCTGTGGGCGTGGCTTGGTGGGCATGGCAGGGGAAGGATACTGTAAAATCTCCAGTCAGAGGTAGTAGTTGCCAGTTCTCCGAATTTCTGCTACGGGTGCTCCAGAACTGGTGAGAACCTGCTGAATACCACCTCTGGTTAAGATGACCCCTCCCTAGTAGATCAGAGTATATCTACAGTTATGCAGATAGCTGCTTTAGTTTATCTTTAGAAGCCAGCAAGATTTTGTCTGCAGCTGAGTAATAATAAAGAGAAGTAACTCTATGTGTCATTATTGGTTTTTAATGTAAGTAGTTTGTAAAATTCTACACTGGATTAAAATACCTGCATAAACAAAGTTTCTTCCTGAGAATGTCTCTCTAGAGACCATCCTCTACAACTGGAATAACACAGATGAAAAAGCACTTCTTTGTGATTCCAATAAAAGATATGCCTATTCTGGGGAAAGATATTGGGTAGATCAGATAAAGTAGTTTAGCTCTTTATAGATTTTATTATTCTTATATTTTACCTTTCTGCTTATGAATTATGTTCAATTAACTTTTCAAAAGTAAAAATTTAAAAAATAAAACCTAATTATAGCACGATATATAGAAATAAATCCAACATTATCCACTCATTAATAAGCTAGTTTATTTTCTGAAGGCCTGGTTGAAAAGTGTTTTTTTTTACTGAAGTACTGGTCTTAGCTCCCCTGGCAATAGTTTTAAAACCTAAGAGCATTTATATAACCTGCTCAAATCAATAGCCCACAATATTCTGTACAAGCATCCCATGTTTTGGTTTCATATCTTGTTCTTTTACTAGCAGTGTAAACTTTGAGATATTAAATCAGTAATTTTTATAAAAAATATGCAGCAAATGTTTCATGTTTATTTCATGTTTATTGCTTTTTTCTACAGTTAAAAGCCTGTAAAATCTGTAACATGAAGACCATGATTAATAGGCAGATTAGTAATTTTATAATGCTTTTTCTATCAATACAGTATTTTATAATTTTGTTTTGTTTTTCAGATTGATTGAATATTATCCTTGACTTAATTATTTCTTACCTTGGCTGAGATGCTCATGATAAATGGAAGCAAGATTTGGAAGGTGCTGTTGAAGATGAGAGGTTAGTTCTGCATGTGAGTTAATCTGTACCAGTTCTTCTTCACATCCTGATTCTTCCCCATCAAAATCTGCCATATTTTTCTCCGATTTTGCACTGACTTGACTGCTGCTACAACTGACATCATCAGCACTTAACATATCATCAACCATGTGTCTATAACATAAAAGCAAGTGTATGCTAATTATAGCTTTTAATATATGAAAACTATAGAATGTTAATTTTACATAAGCAAAGAGAGGAAATTCTTATTAGCCAGAGGAAAAATATATTTTTCTTGATAACAGTAATATATGTGAATGCAACTATTGTAGCTATCCCTTCCAGCCATTTTTTGAAGTACCTAGCAGGTCATCAGTTCTGGTTTTTGGTTTTTCATATTACTATTTTAGAAATAATAATATGAAACAGGTTAACAGCAGCCTGATCAATAATAGAGGTACCAGATCTGTATGAGGAAAGTTAAATATTTCTGTTTGGTGAAAAATAAGTGAAGCAAGAGAAACAGTGTTTTGAATGTTTCTATTCTGTAATAGTGCTGCTTCCAATTCTCACCCTAAATCCAGACATGAAAAGATAGAGTTGTTTGGGAGAACAGTCCCTTAAATTTAAGCACTGTACCATCTTTTACTTTTTTTGATTTGTTTTATCTTGCTTATGTAGTTATTGAAATCTGGGGAATAAGAGTTTCTTTTACATAAACATTACAGAACACTGAAGACAACATGAAATTAATTGTCCCATTTTGTCCCAATCTTGAAGCAAAATTCTTGAATGCCAGGTGTTCTATTCTCAGAAATGCCTACTTAAGAGCTCGATTTTTTTAAATCTCAGGCTACTTTGAAGAATTTTAATTTGGATAGTCACTAATTTTAAAAATATATAAATAATTTCTCATTCATATCTACGAAGATAGGATTTATTAAGACTGCAGCATGAGAATCTAACTACAAATCACAATGAGAATTTGTTAAACCTTATTCTGCATACAGTGCAAAAATTTACACAAACTAACTATTCTTAATTCATATTGTTGCTTTTCGCAGTCGTAATAAATCATGTTTGGATGCAATAAAACAATACACTGTATCAATAGCATATATCTCCTTCCTCCAGCCCACAGCAGGTGGTGTTCAGATAGATTTGCATCTAAAAGTGAAAAATAACAATTTTTTCATCCATAACAACAAATAACTTTTAAAAAGATTCAAGTGTAGAAATGCAATCACACTAATTGTTAAACATTCCTTAAGAAAAAAAATATACATAAGACAAGAAATATGTATTATGTTTCAGAATTACTTAACACGATTAAAAATGAAAAGTGCTTCAGGCAATAAATTACTTATTTCACAAGATTTAATATTGTCCCTAAGATTGCTTATGTTCACATGTGGACAAATACATCACCAAAGCGAATTTCAGTATACTAAAGAAAATTCCATGTTTTGTTTCAAAGCTTTACTGAATGCAGAATTTTGGGTGAATAATCATTTCTTGAATTTTTATTCCTATTTAATCAGCAAAAGAATAATAAAAGGAAACAAAAGATACTTAAATGTGATTATTTTGCATAATATATTCATGTCACAGAATTCAGTATTACAAGACCTAATATTCAGCTGCAAATTCAAACTTTGCTTTTGCCCAAAAATGTAGCCACTGGAAAATAACTTACCCTTCGTGATGGTGGTGGTGGTGGTGGTGATGATGGTGGTGGTGGTGGTGGTGATGATGATGATGTTGTGGCCCAATAAATTGTCGGCAGTTAAACAATTCATTTCCAATTGCTTCCCCAAGAAAGTCCCCTGTGTGTGTGATACAGGAATCTTGAGAGCCCTGGGATATATGGGCAGTACTCATTTCACCAGTTATGTCATGATCAGTATTCTCTGAGTGTGAACAGGGATCCAGCATTCTAATTCTATTATCCACTGATGGAACAGCTTCACTATTAAAAACATTCCCAGATCCATTGCTTACAGCATTCCTATCTGCTGTTTCCTGTGCATCTCCCAAGCAAATGCCTGATTGAGATTCTATTTTTCGGCTTCGCAAATCTACATTCCGGCCAGTTTTGGGGGAATTGTGACCCTGGTCTTCATCTTCTTCATCTTCCTCTTCCTTGAGAGCTTCAATATCAGCAATATCTTCTGACTGCACCTCACTGCCTGGGCTTCCTGCAGACTGACTTGCATGGCTAGAGTTTGCCTCATTGCTTGATCCATCACTGTGACCACTGCTGCTGCCAGGCCCACTGCTGCCATCTTCACCACTATTTGCAGTTTCATCAGAACTTCCCTGCATTGATTCCTAAAAAAATAAATGAAAAAAATACTAAATCTACATGCTGAATCATTAGACAATCAGGTAAGGTCACATGTTGCTTAAGAGATTATGTATTTTCCATCTTAAAGGAAACAACAGCAAATAAATCAGTGATATATAAAACAATGGTTTAAAGAAGTTGAGTAGGTAGCAAGATAGCTAAAAAACAGTTAGGTCAGGCATCCTAGGAAGAGCCTTTTGGAAGACCATATTCTCTGAAATGGCTGTTGCCATCCTGAAGAAAGATGGTGAGAGTGCTGAGAGAAGGATTTCAAATGAAGCTTTCAAACACAGGTAGCCAATTCCAAATATAAATGCAATTTTCATGTTAAAGTGCATCTGAATAATCTTTAGCCCAAAATACTGGTAAAATTTAAGAGTATCTAAATATTTTGGTTCACTGATTTGTTAATAAATATAGCATAAACTAAAATGACTTGGTTCACCCAATAGATTACATATGGAGAAGCAAATCAAATAATGATTCAGTGCAATGTATACACCCAGCCATATAAGCTGAACCCCCCCCAAATTACATATTTCATATTATCAAATTCTTTACTAATCTTTGTTAGCTTTTGAAGTTATTATAATCGGAAAAAAATTACTATTGTACCTCTGTATCTGAAAGTCGCTGTTGGACATGCTTATTTCTACTAATCAGCTGTTCCTCCATTTCAATGTCACTTCCTCCACTCTGATGAGTATCACTGTTGTCGCTACTTTGAGGGCTTGCTGCAGGTGACCCTATTTCAGAAAAAAAAAGTCTGTTCAGAAAATGTTAATTTTAAAATAGCTTCAGTTGTATTAATCCAGGAGTCCCCAACTCCCCAAGCCACAGACCAGTACTAGTTGGTGACCTATTAAGAACCAGGCTTCATAACAGGAGGTGAGCTGCTCTCTAGCATTAGTATCACCGCCTCAGCTCTTCCTCAGATCGTCAGGCTTTAGATTCTTATAGGAGTATGAACCCTACTGTAAACTGCGCTACGTGAGGCATCTAGATTGTGCGATCCTCCTCCTCTCCCCAGTCTGTGGAAAAATTGGCTTCCATGAAACTGGCCTATGGTGCCAAAGCAGGGGGAGGCTGTATTGTTATGGCTCTTGCTATAAACCTTTCATTAGCTCTGAAGCTAGTCTAGCAGCTAATAACATCAATCGCATAACTGCAAGTTGACTTGCTGTTCTTGCAAAGGATAACAAAAAGAATGAATGAATTATAGAACTATGTATGTGGAAGATCAAGGACTAGACTGCTACTTAAAATGTAAATTAGTTCAGCTGCCACCTAAATGAAAGATGGATAAAATGAAAAATTATATAAAGGTTCCTTAATAAGATGAATCTGTCATAACACTTTTCTGCAATAACTTACATGGTGATGGAGCTGCTCGTCGAAGTTCTTCTTCCTCTGAAGGAGGGGGAGTAAAGATAGTACTGATTATATATTACCAATAGTTACATACAGATAGTCCTCAACTTATGACTATCTACAGTATCTATTCAAATTACAATAGTGCTGAAAAAAAAGTGAATTACAACCAGCCCTCACACTTAAAACCATTGCAGCATCCTTATGGTGATGTGATTAAAATTTGGGCACTTGGTCATCAGCATGAATTTATAGCAGCTGCAGTGCCCCAGGTCACATCATTTGTGACCTTCCCATCTGGCTTCCAACAAGCAAACCTAATGGGGCAAACCAGATTAACTTAACAACCATATGATTTAATGATTGTGCAATTCACTTTACAATGTGATTTGACTACAGTAAAAAAAAAGAGGTCATAAAATCAGGCATGACTCTCATAACAACTGCATCATTTAACAACCGAAGATCTGGTCCCAATTTGGATCATAAATCAAGGAGTACCAGTATCTAACTAAGTTTACTAGAGAGTGTTTCTTTATTTTCTAGAATATGTTGGCCTTTTCTACCTGAAACATATTTCTACTTTTGAACAAAAATGAAATAAGAGACATGATTACCTAAAATAACTGTTTTTTGTTTAGAAAATATATTAGTCTCTAGAATAAACTCACACATAAAACTTTAAATCTAATACTTAATCATTTATGATGCCTAGGAAACAAATGTGTACTCACCTTTCTTGTTTCCCATGGGTAAGTTTGTACTAAGTAAAGATGCAAAAGAACTCTGTTTTGATAGTTGGGCCTTAGCTGCTAGAGCATTATTCCACAATGCTTTAATGAGCATGGATGCCAAATATAAAGTCTGTAAAGGAATAATAAATTACAATGTCAAAAAATGTGTATTCTGTGTATTCCTAAATGTGTTTTCATAAATTGTAAATGTGTACGCTATTATTCACAAATGCAAAGCAAATGCAAATTATCTCGGGCTCAAAAGGAATCTTCCTAATTTAATTTTTTTCTACTACAGTAAAAAAAAATGATAGAGATGTAAATATTGGTCTCTAATCTAAGTAAACCCCTGCAAATAAATGAATTCCCACTCCTTCTCTTCAGAGCAAGTGCATCCAATTTTTTCTATCAGCAATGCCATAATTTTTCCAACTACCTTCATTTGCAATTTTGCTTAATTTTTAAAAAGACATATATGGCAAAAAATTCAGCCTGAGAAAATATTGCTTTAAATTCATTTATTTCTACCTGTTCAGTATGTGCACTTGGATGGAGGATGGAAACTAAATTAAGAAGATGTCTGAGTGGCACAGGATCTAGGTTCTTGATCAGTGAAGGAAACAAGTCATGTATATAGCGGCTACAATGCTTCAACTTTAAAAAGAGAGAGAAAGACAACTTATTACGAGAATTGGTTTTTCCTCCTCCTAACAGCTTTTATAAGCAACTTGTTGTAGTTTATATATTCTAAGGATCAGCAAAACAATTCATACATAAATCATTCCTTTACATGGAACAGAAATTTGGGGTGGTTTGTGCCCAAACTGAAACATAATTTTTTTACCCAGATGCAAAAAGAAATAAGAAGGTGGTTTTGTTCCAGATATTGACCAAAATGCAATTGTTCTGACAATAAATGTTTTGAGGGGACCATAAAAAACCAAGTTACAGGAGTTTCCTTGGTGATGCCTGAAGGGAAGCAAAGGAAAGATGAAAAGTGGACAGGTTTGTGTTATATGCCACAACTGAGGAGCTGTTGTGGGAAAGCAGGGAAAGGAGACACAATGGAGCAAGCGGAGTAGTGGGATAAGGGATGCTGCAGTAAGGAACAGGTGGAGAAGCCATGTAGCAGAGACAATGACACCATCTAAAAAGTAGGAATCTTTGTTTCTGATGAAGAAGAGACACGGTTTGACTGAACTTTCAGAATTCATAAGTATCAGGTTCAAAACACATTTTTCATTTTATGAACACCCTGTCTCTTTTAGTGTTAGTTTTCATAAATACCATGTTCTATCTTCTAAAATATTTTACAAAATTGTGATAATGAAAACAGAAACATACAAAATAATATCAAATCATAAGGGGCAATTAGAGTTAGTGAAACATTTTTTAAAACAAGTGGAGAAAGTAAATCTAAACTTAAATTAATTTAGTACCGAAATATCTAATTCAGAAAAGTAATTACAATGCTGGCCACATGTTCACTAATTAGCACTGAAAGAAAATGATATTTATTATCAATTAAAAACAAAACCATGATTTTTTTCAACATTAATTCATCACCACGCAAATACTTTGGTATATTATGTTTTTGCTCATTTTTAAAATGGTTGTAATCTTAAGATGGTGAAAGGTAAGCATTTGCACAATTTGCAATACAGGTTATCGTTGACCTATAACCAGTCATTTAGTGACCGAAGTTACAATGGCACTGAAACAAAGTTGACTTGTAACGGTTTTTCAGATTTACTATAGTTGCAGCATCCCCGTGATCCTGTGATCAAAATTCAGGCACTTGGCAACCGACATGTATTTATGACAGATGCAGTATCCCAGGGTCATGTGATCACCATTTGTAACCTTCTCAGTTGGTTTCTGATAAGCAAAGTCAATAGAGGAAGCCAGATTCGCTTAACAAACGCATGATTCACTTAACAATTGCATTGATTCACTTAACAACTGTGGCAAAAATGGTCATAAAATGAGGTGCAACTTATTTAACAATTGTCTTGCTTAGCAAGGGAAATTTGGGGTCAATTTTAGTCATTAATTGAAGTCTGCCTGTACTATCTTTAGCAGTAATTAGAACTTAATATAGCAGTCTTCACAAATACAAGCTTTAAAACCACTCTACTACAATACTAATCTACTTACAAGGATTTGTTTTAACACGGGGTGTTAGCCACCTGTGGTTCCAGAGCCACATGTAGCTCTTTGGGCCCCCTGCTGCAGTTCCCTGTTGGCTGAACCCAGTACTGGGTGACCCCACCCCTCGCCCTCCTTGCCTAAGAAGGTAAGGGCGATGGCAGCAGACGGAGACTCGCTCCATATTCCAGAGCGGGAGCGAAGCGCCCCTGTACTTGCCTTTTCTTCCGGCCTTTGTTGGTGCTGTGCGCACCTCAGCCGCTCAGGGAGACGCGTGACATTCTCTCTGCCCTGAGACACTGACCCAGCCCAGCTGCAGCTAATGCCGCTGCTCTCACCGCCTCCATGGCCTCTTCCCTGTTTTTGCAGCCCCTTGCCCAGCACACTTAAATTTAGTCTGCTTCACAATGGGGGAGACAGCATTCCCTCCTCCTCCTGCAGTCCATTACAACACGGAGCACCGGCTGAAGCCGGGCCAGGCCAGTGTATCCACGAGTGACTGAGGTGCACACAGCACCAACAAAGGCCATGAGAAGAGTAACTAGGGGGTGCTTCGGTCCCACTCTGGAATATGAAATGAGTCTCCATCCTCCGCCTCTGCCACCCTTACCTTCTCAGGCGAAGAGTGACTGATAGAGGAGGGCGAGGGGTGGGGCCAGCCAGTGGTGGGCTCAACAGTCAGGGAGCCCCAGCAGGGGGATTAAAGAACTTCATTTATCTGGGAACCTGAAATGACTCTTGATTTAAATCATATGATAAAAAGCATCCAAAGAAGAAGAAAGAACATCAATTAAAAAAAAAAAACCAACCCTCACCTGTTTTTGGAAATGGTTCAAGAAGGAACACACACACACGAGATGAATGGTTTTAAGTTGAGGACTACCTACAGTATATTATATTTCAACCTGCTTTGATATGAAAAATGCTTCAAAGTTTCTAGGAGCATATATAAGTTGAATAATAAGTAGTTAACATCTAACTGCTGCTTTTTCATGCTTTATCTGAAAATTCCTTTCCTTTTTGAAGTTTACTTATTTAAATTTAGAGGCTCCCCAATTCCAAGCAACTCTTGGTGGCTTCAAACAATCAGAGAAATTAAATTGTCATGCATGCCGAAGAAAACACACTTAACACATCAGAGGTGGAGAGACTTACTACCTGAGCACTAGCTTTGATATCACTTGACCTCTATGTTTTAATTCAAAGTAGCTGTTCATGACAAAAATCCCAAAACAATAAACAACATCTACACTAATACACACAAGCATGTACACATATATTTAAGAAACACATCTAATTCAGATAGAATTAAAATCATAATTTAGTGATGGGAATAAGCTGCAAACTTATAAGGCTTTTGCAGCTCTACAAATCTTTCAGGTTTGAACGAAAGGATTTACTGTATACCTGCATACTGAATAAATCCATTTCCCATTCCATCTAAATGCAAGCTTTTCCGTTATTTAAATTTTGTTAGCATAATAGTACTTTGCCTTGAGACCACTTTTTGGCATAACTTCTAAAGTAAGGGTATACCTGTGCTGCAGCCCATATGCAGTCTATATGCTGAGTACTAAGCCGGCCTTCAGCAGCAAGAAAATTAAGAATCACTTGGCACTGTTTAATGATCTGGAAAATATTAAATCAACATTAAAACATTAAAACTTAAATTTCATGATAAAGAGAGACAATCCTGCTTTATATTAAACATACCTCAATATGCAAATTTGGTCCAAAAATATGTTCCACTACATTGTTGTTGATTAGCCAATCTGCAAGTTCTTTAGCAATGGATCTATATAAGAGGGGAAAAACATAAGAAGGTAATTGCAGAACTTCCATTAATTGTTATCTACTAGGTTAGGAACATGCAATTTCTTTAATCTGAGTGCTATCCCATACATCAGTGTATGGGATATATCCCATTTACAGTTGGTGAAAATCAATAAACTTTTATGGGAAAGAAAAAGATTTATATTTGAAAGATTGGAGGGACAACTCAACTTTCCAGAAAGGATTTGAGATTTTTAGAATAGAATAGAATAGAATAGAATAGGTTTATTGGCCAATTTGATTGGACACACTTGTCTTAGTATAAATACTCTCAGTATACATAAAAGAAAAGATACATTAGTTAAGAATCAAATTTAGTTAATACATGTTAAAATACGATGTGCATATAGAACTCAAAATAACCATCATTTTTACACTTGGCATTGAATGACTCTAAAATCACAGTTCACACAGAATTCTAATGAAATTTTACTGTTGATTGCAATGTAATTGGGGCTAAGTTAAATGGAAGTATTCCAAAGTTAAAAGATACTTACGTTTCTGTATCTGAAACCAAGGATTCATTATTACACACATCATTAAAAGTATGAAGTTGATTCTACAAGTAGGAAAAAAAACACTTTAAATTTATAAATGCCAAAAGGACACAATTGATTTAAATGAAGCATCATTCAAAAGTTAACTAATCAAATCAGTAACTCAATTTCTATAATAAAAATACTAAAGAAATATATTTATATATCAATCTGACTGCCTGCTTTGCCAGATTTTAGGTAAAAGTTGCTTTTTATAAACAATTCTATATTTATATATTTATATTTACATACAAGTCATGCCCAGCCAGGCACATGACCACCAAGCCACACCCACAAATTAGGCCATGCCCACAGAACCGGTTAGTGGTCCCTGGGATTTAAAATTATAAATTTGGTGGTCCCTGAGGTCCAAAAGGTTGGCGACCCCTGGACTAGAAGACTTCCTAGGTCCCTTCCTGGTTGTTATGTACAGACTGCCTACATATTGTCACGTACGGACTGCCTTAAATCACCTCACAGCATTTCATTGGGATTTAAATCTAGACTTTGACTTGGCCATTCTAGAAAGGGTGTTGGTGCTTACCTGACACGCCCGTTCTCCTTGAGCTGCAAAGAGCATCCAGTAGTGGGAGGTGCTTCAGTCTCTGCTTATCTAGGCTGGGCTTCATTTGCGGAACGCTCCTCCTCTTCCATGGGACTCCTCCCCAACGTTCCCCAGTTTTGGCGAAGATGAGAAAAACAAACACCCTCGCCCTTAATACTGTAAAAATTCGTTGGCCAAAACAGGTTCCCACCAGGGTGGGGCTGGATGCTCTTCGCAGCTCAAGGAGAATGGGCGTGTCAGCTAAGCACCAACGCCCTTTCTCCCACGAGCTGCTCAGAGCATCCAGTAGTGGGATATACCAAAGCTTGGCCTGTCCTACGGGAGGCACTCCATCTCTCTTGGGATCTCCTCCTTCCTGGTCCCTGTGGACCCATTGCAGAACCCTTCTGCCAAACGAGGCCTGGGCTGATGCAAACACATCTATTTTATAATGCCTAATGAAAGGAGATGGAGAGGCCCAGGATGCAGCACGACAGAGGTCAGTGGTTGGTGCCTGCGTGGCCCATGCTGCTGATGTTGTGGCGTTCCTTGTTGAATGAGCTGTTATGCCCCTGGGAACCTGAAGTGCTTGAGTCTGATACGTTTTTGCTATTGCGGCCCGTAGCCAACGGCCTATTGTGGAGGATGAGAACTTGCATCCCTAATTGTTGGGTTGAAAAGACACAAATAAAGCCTCCATTTTTCTAAAAGAGGCTGTGCGGTGAATATATATTCGTAATGCTTGCCTCACGTCCAGCTGATGCCACTGTCGTTCCAGCCCTTGGGATGGCCTGGGACAAAAATTAGGAAATATCAGTTCTTGTGCCCTGTGAAAGGCTGAATTAACTTTGGGTATGAACATAGGATCGGGACGAAGGACAACCCTGTTGGAATGGAAGACGCAAAGATCTTGTCTGATTGACAAGGCTGCCAGTTCTGAAATACAACGAATGGAAGTGATCGCTACAAGAACAACTACTTTATACGTCAGAAATTGGAGACTTGACAATTGCAAAGGCTCGAAAGCGCACTTAGTGAGTGCAAGAAGGACCTTGTTAAGGTCCCAAGTGGGATAACGGTGGACCGTTGGCGGGTGTAAGTTTGTGGCTCCTCAAAGAAAACACTGTATGCGTGGATGATGGGAAAGGGATAGAAGACCTTCATAAGTGATGACTGACGCCAAGGCTGCCACTTGTCTTTTCAATGTATTAGGTGATAATCCCTTGTCACGCCCCTCTTTTAAAACTCTAGGGTCTGTGCCACAGATGGAGAAATGGGATCCATTTGAGACTTGGTACACCATTTGTAGAAACTGGACCATGTGGCATTGTAGATGCGAGTTGTTGAGGGGCGTCTGGCAGCTTGGATGGTGGTGATAACTCTGTTGGAAAACTTTTCGCTCTTTAGACGACTCCGCTCAACTTCCAGACGGTCAGGTGCAACCATTGAGGGTCCGGATATTGAAGGGGTCCTTGGGTTAACAAGACCCTGTCTGGCAGAATTCTCCATGGTGGTGATACAGATAGACTGCGGAGGTCTGCAAACCACGACCATCTGGGCCAGTAGGGAGCTACCAGAAGCAGTTCCGCCCTCTCATCGAGCAGCTTCTGGATGACCTTGGGGATCAGTGGAAGTGGTGGGAATGCATACAGAAGCCCCGGGGGCCAACGGCAACGAAGCACATTGAAATTCTCCGCTCCTTGTGAGGGATATCTGGAAAGAAATCTCAGGAGCTGAGCGTTGAGGGGGGAAGCGAACAGGTCTACTACTGGCTGCCCAAATGTCCTGACTGCCTCTTGAAAGAGGGTCAGATGGAGGCACCACTCTGATGGATCTATCATGGCCCTCATCCTCAGACATCCCCCTTTCTCGGGGGTCTGTTTCCGACATGGCCGGGTCAGTATCATGCATTGATTCTGATTCACTCTGGTCCATGTGTTCAATGTGTTCCACCTCTTCTGCCTCCTCCTCCTCCTCCTGCGGCTCCTGTAGGAGCATACCCCCTTGACACTGTACCTGGGTATAGTGTTGCTCTGACCTGGCCAATGACCAAACTGATTGCGAATCATATCAGCGGGTGCGGGATGATCCCTTGTCAGAACCGCATGTTGCAGGCCTGCCGCGATTCCCTGACAGATAGCCATCTCCATCCAGGTCTTCATTTGCTCTGGCACATCCTCTGGAAGAGATTGTTCCTGTCAAAGACCGGCAGCCGTTGGTGTGAACGTCGCTTCGAGTATTCTTCGCATGGTTGGTGACTGAGCTGACTGGGCCTGTCGACTCAGGGGAGCCATGCTGCACCTGGATGAGGGAGAGATCTAGGGGGGTAGGAGGGAGGAAAGAGGAGGATGGCTCTGGACTGTGTGGTGAAAAGGCTTGAGAGGTCCTGTGTGCTTCCCGTGTGCACTTATCTATTTGTTTTTCCAGAGCCTTGTGGCGCCTATTAGCACCCTTTTCTGATGCCTTAGAAGTCCCTTTTTTAATTTTTGCTTAGGATTGTGTTGAGATTTGGACTTGTCCCTTGAAGTTGAGGAGTGTGAACCACTATCCCCTACCATTGTGCTTATGGAAGGACCAGTACGCTCGTTATTTAATGCTATATTGTGTAGGCGGTTGGCGCGCCCAGGAACCTGGCCAAGAATGGACAGGGTGCCCTGAAATCAAATCCCCCCGGGTTTTTTTAATGTTTTTTTTTATTTATTTTATTGTATTTTATTTTAAAAAAATATGAATATCTGCGTCAAAATTGAGTCGTATCTCAACAATTAATTTATTATTGTTATGAAATTGCCAGTATTATTATATTGGTGTGATTAATATTATCAGAGAGTATGGGTGCAAATATATATCAAATTTGGATGTCCCAATCAGCCAAATTGAGAACGCCTAGCAGGCCAAATAATCAGTCACAGGCCTTCAACAGCTTCCCTGCACAGGCGGACGCTGGCCTAGGTGCTCGCTGTTGTGCCGCTGGATAGGGAGAACTGTGAGGGTTGAGCCAACAATACGAATTAACAAAAGCCTTGAATATGTTAAAAACAAGGTTGTAATGATTCCTGGGATATTTTGTGTGAAAAACCCCTTCAATCCGGAATAAGGATTACCTCACACAGTCTAGTGAATTAGCACTCAACGCGGCCACGCGGTCCCTTGACAGTAAAAAATAAATAAAAATGGCGACCGGATGTTATTTGTGGCACGCGTGCCAGCAGCAATCTCCCGCTAAGAAAAAGAGATAAGCTCCAACAGCCTTCCCTTAGGGCTAAACTGGTGGGGAGGGGTGAAATAACGAGGCGATTACACCTCCACCCCTAAACGGCGTTCTTGGGGGAAAGGAGAAACTGCGATACGACTCAGGACAGAGAGAGAGAAAAAAAAGCCTTGCCGTTTAAATGATAAAGCGGCTCAGCGATAGTAATGGCAAGGGTAGGGCTAGCGGTTGGGGGGGATGAAATGAAATCGAAGCCTCCCTGCGCTTAGGAGCGCTTCCTGGTAATGCGATCCCCAACGGCCAGATAGCAAGGGCAGCATCGGTAAGAAAAGAACAATTGACAATCTGCAAACCTTAAAGAGAATTCTCCTGTTCCGGCCAAGGATTAACGAGAAGCACTGACTATCTCTCACAAGGCTGAACCAAAACTGGGGAATGCTGGGGAGGAGTCCCATGGAGGAGGAGGGGCATTCCGCAAATTAAGCCCAGCCTAGATAAGCAGAGACTGAAACACCTCCCACGACTGGATGCTCTGAGCAGCTTGTGGGAGAACTATTTCTTTTTTCCCCAACAATTCCTTGATGAATTTACTGGAAGGTCATACCCCCATAGGCAGTCTTAAGTTGTACAACCCATTCTCTCATTTCAATAACCCATCATCTTATTCTGCTGTGTGTGGGAACCAAATTCTACTTAGGCAGTAAAATCATAACTTTTGACGAAAAGAAAAATGATACAGATAGTTCTCAACTTACAATAGTGTGTTAAGTGACAGTTCTAAGTTACAATGACACTGAAAAAATTGACCTGTGACTGTTTTTCACACTTACAACCACTGCAGGATCCCCACAATCACATGATCAAAAACCAGATGTTTGGCAACTGATTCATAGTAATGACAGTTGCAATGTCATAAATATTTCCCAGGGTCATGTGATCCCCCTTTGTGAGTTTCTGAAAAGTCAACAGGGAAATAAGGTTCACTTAATAACCATGTTACTAATTTAATAGTTGCAGTGATTCACTTAATAACCATGGCAAGAAAGGTCGTAAAATGGGGCAAAACTCACTTACCAAATGTCTTGCTTAGCAACAGAAATTTTGGGCTCAATCATAATCATAAGTTGAGGACTACCTGTATTGTCTCAGAACGGTTTTACATATATTTATTTACTTGTATATCTATATGTCTACATAAATTCAAAAGCTTCTTACTGTTATTTGACTAAGTCCAGCCAATCTCATGGTTAAGGTTGGTGACATGAAGTACTTAAAAGCAAGATCAAGACTCTCTTTGTCAAAACACAAGGCAGTATCTAACGGCTCTTTAACTGTGCTCCACATTAAATCTGCCATATTACGAGCTGCACTCTGTCTTAATTCCTGGTCTGACAGTTTGCATAAATACCTAAGCAGAAATACAAGGAAGATCAAATTAATATTAACAAGTCAAATTAATTTTTCCAGCCATCATATTTTCTATTGAAAATATATAACTTTACAGAAACCTTAATAGCACAATTGTAAGTCATAAGAAACCAGTCCACTCTTAAATTAAATAAGTTTAAGTGTCATCTCATTTGGGAAAAAACTTGTTTGCAAGCATTTGAATTAAGTTATCAAATGTGAAAATCCATGTGACTTTTGACAAAATTTTGTATATATTTTTTACATTATCTACCATATATACCACTATTCCATTTTTTTCCTCAGAACTCGACTGGTAGAAATAATTTGATTTTATTTAGATTCAAGCAGGATTTAATTTTCTGTTCAATGGGGTGCTTGAATCCAGATTTCTTCTATCCACTGCACAATCGCTTTTAGATATAACAATCAAAAATAAAAGTCTAAATTTCACATTCTGGAATAGCCTCTCCAACCTAGTATCTCATGATTATACTGCTTTTTTTTAATGCAATTGTATTTCAACACATGTGGAGGATGCTGGATTACAATGGGTATGGCTGCTTTCTACAACTACAGCTTGATGCGAAATGATTACAAATTCAACTGATACAACAGTCAATAGGTTCACCTCCTCATTTCAACATTTTATTTGTGTTTGGTTTGAAGGCATCTATCATAATCACCAAATGTTTTTCAGATAGCAAAACTTTCGGGGAGAAAATGTTGTCCAGTATAATTATTGATTTCTTAAACACTAAAGCTAAGCATCCAGAATGCAATGGTGGGAGTAGTTATGGGTATGCCCATATACTATCAATGTTATGCAAGCTGCACTGGCTTCCCAATATGCTTCTGGGTATTTTATGGTGCTGGTTACCTAATAAAGCCCTTTGTGATACAGTACTGAATTACATGTGCCTATCTCCAACTGAATCTGTCAATCTTGTGAATCTGACAAAGTAGTCATGCTCTGGTACCTTCTATATGATAAGTTCAAACAATACTACATGGTGGCCAAATTTCAATAAACAAATAGGTTATCATTTTATATAAATAAATTTCAAGAATCAGAAATAAGTGCAAAAAGTACCTGATGACATAGGTCCTAAAAGGTATAATGTGTTGCATGACAGCAGGGATGTGCAGCCATATTCTGATCTATGCAAAGAGTACAAAAATTGAACAACTTAAACTGAAATGTTTTACAGCAACAAACTTAAGATACATATATTTGCCAACTAGAATGAGGAAGATTTTTTTCTTTCCTATAATATAGTGGTCCCCAACCTTTCCAGCTTGGCAGCCCGTTTGGGGGTGGTGGGGTGGAGATGACAGGGGATGATTTTGTGTGAGTGGTAGATGAGCATGCAGGTGCATGTAGCTCCATTTCTACAAGTGGTGGGAGCAGGAGCCCACTGCTCACACAAATGGAGCTTTGAACATAAACATGAGAGCCCGCCACTCACACACATGGAGCTGCACTTGCATGTACTCATTTGCTGCTTGCATGACCTTTGTCTGAATGGGCTGCAGTCCACTAATGGGCCGCAGTCTGGAGGTTGGAGACCCTACTATGTTTGTGTACCATCCTGTACATTCTTGAAGAACACTCCCCCAAAATCTGTTTGCCACAACTTTCAAAGGCATAAAGAATGAAAGATAACTGGTATGAGAGAGGACTCCTAAATCACATTTCTTCAATGTTGCATCTTTCAGATACACTGGATTACATTTCCCTCATCTGCATAGCCCCCACATCTGGCCAATGCTCAACCTCTACGGAACATGTCCTACAGGAGGTGGGGAAATTTTTTTCTTTAAAATATATTGATACTTTTTCCATTAGTGCCAATTATATGAAACCTTGTGCTGGAATCTCATACAAAAAAATGAATGACAAATTGAAATGAAAAAGGAAAATATATAATAACAGAATCAATTAATAAAAAGCAACTCATATTTTGTCTACTCATTCTAATGTATAAAATAATATGAATTAGTTCAAGGAAGAAATAATGGAGGATATTTGCCTGGAATTTTGGTTTTTGTTAAGCAACTATAAAGAGAAGAATATGAGTTGGTAAAAAGATGAAAGATATTTAATGATGAATTCTATACCTCTCAATAGCTTTGTATCATAATCTAATGTTTCAAATACAAGCTAATCACACTACAAGAAAATATAGTTAGAGACATGAGCTTGCAAGAGAGATGTTCCCAACAGAGGAAAAAGTGAAGCATTACTTTTCTACTTTAAGATTCACAAAATCTTAAGTTTCACAAAAACCTATACTGCTCCCAAATATCTAACTTCGCCCTCAATACTTCTGACAGTTGCTCCAAAAGAAACCTATTATTACTGCAGATGGAAATCAGAGGCATAGTCTCTTCCACCTCATCTTCTGATACCCTGTTTTGAGCAAGATTTGAACCAGGGATTTCTTGGTTTGAAGTTCAGTCTTTTAACCACTATAAAATACTGGCTTATAGTGTATGAAAATACAGTATGAAAGGAAGTTTGTAAAATTTAAAACTAGCCATAATCCTGCAGTTTTGTGACTTATAAAGTGATCAGAGCTTCATCTCTAAGTCCTATTTTATTAAATAGATTGTGGTTAAACAAATAATGCTTAAAATAGTGTCCTGTGTCATATTATTAATCCATTGAACTAACAATCACTGTCTTTGCTAAAAAAAGATAACTGATTGCATCCCTTTTTAGCAGAAGATTTTAATTAAACCTTTCTATTGCTTAATCCTGCATATCAGGTTGGAGGTATTTTGAACATTCATCATTGCAAAATTCTTCAACTTGATACTTTCAGACTCTCAAATATAAACTGCTTACTTCAGGGAATGCCACAATATTTCAGTTGGATTAAGGTCAGGATGTAACATATTTTCTGTTTCAGCTATTCTGTTGCACATTAACTTTTGCATTTAGGATTTGAGTTGCATGATCCACAATCATTTAAGCTTGGATAGATACAGTGACAATTACAAAACAGACCAATCCATGTATTTCCATCAGTGTTTTATGGCTAGGATGATGTTTTCTTGTTGGAATGCAGTATTCTGTTGTCTCAACAACAACTGGACAACCAATCTGGTGTACAAGTTAAGGTGCTGGTCTAGAAACCAAAACTCTGTGAATTCTAGTCCCAACTTAGGCAGGGAAGCTGGCTAGTGACTTTAAGCCAGTCATTCTCTGTCAGCCCAATCTACCTCAGAGTTGATGTGGAGAAAATATTAGGAGGAAAGAATATAATGTATTTTCACCATCTTGAGTTACTTATAAAGTAAGGTGGAATAAAGGTTGTGTGACCTCAAATTGTCAACATGTTTTCATAATGAAAAGTTGACAAATACATGCAGAAAAGTGAAGGTATAATTTAAATTACTAGTAAAATGTGTCAGAAAGTATGAGGTGGATTATGTGTGTGGAAGCATATTAGTGGTTCAACATCTCATTTTCCAGTGATAATGAAAGAACCAGGATGATTTTAGGAGAAAACAGAAAAAAAGAGCAACAGAAAAGCTGGATTGTCCAGAGAAATTTGTAAAAGCCAGGCCAAAGCAAAAACAAAAGGTCTGTTTACAAAACAAGAAAAAGTTTAAGTTATTTTTATTAAGGGGAGAAGGTCTGGAGCAGTGGTCGCCAACTGATGGGCCGTGGCCCACTGGTGGTCTGTGAGAAAATTTTGGTGGTCCACAGAGAAATGTCCCCCCAAGCACCCCGCCCAAAGCAATCCAGGCTGCATGGGAACACAAGGCTGCGCCACCCACATGACCCGCCCACCCACTGGCCCCACCCTTTGGCCAAGTACAAACCTGCTAAAAGCAGCGTAGCCCCCGCTAGCCAGGACAAGGTAAAGGTGCTGTTGCAGCAAGAGGGAGATGGCAGCACAGGCCAGCTGAAGTGGCAATGGAGATGGCTGGAAGGTGCAGTAGCGCCACGCTACTTTCATTTTCATGGCACTCCCGCACCTTCCAGCTCACCTCTCCTGGCCTGGGCTCTTCCCCGATGCCGCGGGCTGTAGGGATGGCCCAGGACAGGAAAAGTACTGGCTGGTAGTGGTGGGAAGGGGCAGAGTGGGCAAGTTTTCGCTAACCATCTAGTTCAGAGGTCTGGAATGGGGTGTCGTCAGTTTTCTCGTCCCTCTCAGCACTCTGCTCTGCTGCCACTGCCCCCACCCCCACCCCTCGCTGCCCAGTGTATTCTCTTATTGAAGTGTTCAGTATTGGAGATTAATTTGGTTCCCTCAAAATTAATTTCATGTCCTGTGGCTTTAAGGTGTTGGAAAAGGGAGGAAGTATTTTCTTCTTTTCTTTTCTCCAATAATGAGCACTTCAACAAGAGAATAATCAGGGAAGCCATCAAAATAGAGGAACACTCCCATAACATAAACAGGACGCCTACCAGACATCTGGAAACTAGCCCTTATCAACAAACAAGTCCCAGCCACGAAAACCATCACGGACCCCAAACAACACACGACGCCACCATCAATCTCCCTCAACAGACTCAAACACAAACCCATCCCATAGACGAAAGGCAACCACTGTCCACAAACCAGACCACGGCTGCATCACCAGCTGCCACACACCCCGACCCCCAAACTATGCAACCTGACACACACCATGAACATATAGCCAGACCTCAAACTCGGAGCCAAACCAAAACCCGGAACGTTACATCACAGCCATGTGCTCAGGATATCACATCACAGAACTCAGGAGGTTATACCACAAAACCTCAGGATGTTGCACCACAGCCAATGACCCAGGAGATTACAGCACAAGACCCAGGATGTCACAACAATAGAACTCAGAAGGTCACTACAGTATGAGTTTGGTGGTCCCTGAGGTCCAAAAGGTTGGTGAACCCTGCTCTAAGTGAATCTGTGATTCTGTGAGCAACTCAATCTGCCTGCCTGCTTTGCATGATTTTGGGTCAAAGTTGCTTTTTTATATGTAAAAAAATTCAATATTTACATAAATATTTATATTTACATAAAAGCCATACCCAGCCAGTCACATGACCACCAAGCCACACCCACAAATTACCCCACAGAACCAGTTAAGAAATTTGAACCCCACCCCTGCTTGTGTGTGTGAGAAGGAGGGGGTGAGAGGGAAAGGGAGAGAGAGGCCACCATCAGTCAAAATTCCTATTAGTGGTCCCCGGGATTTAAATTTATGAGTTTGGTGGTCCCTGAGGTCCAAAAGGTTGGCGACCCTTGACCTAGGTGATATACATTTCTTTTGTGGTACCTACTATATTGAACATCCTCCCTGTGAAATATGGCAGTCCAGCTTTCTGGACTTTCCCACAAGGCTGAGTAGTGTGTAATTTGAGTAGTCTGTCTACTCAGTAGTCTTACATATAGTACAATTGTATTATAAGAGCCTATTATATTAACATTATTTTTAACTTACTTTGTGTTTTGAAGTTTTATTATATTTATGTCAATTGTTAGCAGACGGATAGCCATACAGATTCAATGAATGAATGATTTTTTTTCAATTATGTATTAAAGGACTGCTGTCTACAACCTCCAAATTTACTCTTTGTTTTTAGAAATTACAAGTGAATATTTAACATTAATGTTTTAATAATAAACTTTGCATTGAATGTATTTGGTATATATCATTTGAGACTCTTTTGTTTGCTCCATAATGCTGTCTCTTATCTTTCATGGTTACTGCCCTAAAGACAGAACTTTTGAGAGTTGATACGAAGTTGAAGATGCACTCTTTTGCAAGCCACTAAAGTAATGTGGCTCTATAAAATGGTACATAAAATAGATAAAAATGAAATGAGTTCAAACCTGCCATATATAATATGTATCAGACAGGACTGATATTCTTTTTCATTTGAAATTCAGATTCAGCACTATTATAATGTTGGGTGGAAGGAAGGTTCTCAAATTAACATTTAATTTATCTCACAGTCTTCACAAGTCTTAGAGCAGGTTTAATTTGTTAAGAAGTACAGGATCCCGGTTTTATTCAGAAACTTCTAGAATGATATTTAACTTACTTTGTGTTTTGAAGTTTTATTATATTTATGTCACATGGTGTGTTAAAAACTTCCAGAATTATATTTAAAGGGCCACAGTCATTCTATAAGTGTCAGTGACCATGAAAGATAAGAGACGTTATTGAACAAACAGACTCTCAAATGATATATGCCAAATACACTAAATGCAAGGTTTATCTTTAAAGGGGTCTTATTTATTAAAAAGGAGAATTCTATCAGCCCATACATACGGTCCACATTGCTTTATCAACAGCACACACAAAAGATGCATTCTGTATGAAAACTGTATTTCACTAGGTCTCTTCACTATGAAGACAAACTCAAAGGCAGCAATTGTTGGCAATGCAAAACTCATGTAAGGGAAGAGTCAGAAGCAACCACTAAGAAAAGAGTTACTACAAAGACATGGAGGTCAAACTATTCCAAAGCACCAAAAGGCAAGACAAGAAACAATGGATGAAACCAACCAAGGAAGAATTGGTTAGTCGCCATGGGTGAAAAGGCGGCAATATAAATTCAATAAATAAATAAATAATAAAAGAAGCAACCCAGAACTAAGGAGAAATTTCCTAAGGATGAGAGCAATCAAACCAATGGAATAGCTTGCCTTCAGAAGTTGTGCGCCATTACTCAAGACCATTTATCTCAAATGGTATACTGTCTCCTCCTCAAGCAGGGGGTTGGAACTAGCAGACCATCAAGGTCCCTTCCAACTCTATTATTCTATGTTCTAAATTCATTTGGAGTTATCCTTCTCGTAAGTTGAGCTTGTCTGCTACTTTACTCTTCCAATTTAGCATAAACAGGGTAAAGAGTACGAACAAATATTTTTGTTAAGTCACTAGAATAACAATTTCTGGAAAATATGTGGATTTTAAAATTTTTGTTTGATTTACTTTGAACTCTAAAAAAGAAGCAAATGGTAATTAGAAGTTTAGCAATAATAAAGCAATATCTACTACCAAGGTTAGTTAACAAAACTGATGTTATCACATCCACATATGAGATTTGGACAACTGTTACCTTATTACTCCCTCCCTTAAATGGGATCTGTCCTGATCGGAACTCAAAAATAATTTTGAAAATTACGGAAAATACAACAGAGATCCTGCAAATTTCTGAATGTTTTTCTCCATCTGGAATTTTAATAGCAAAGTGATCCCCAATTTTTAAAAGGAGCATTTTTGTCATTTAATAGTAGTATTACAATGAGAATGACAAATGTAAACAACACAACAAATTTAAACAGAGAACACAGTTTCTAGATTTGATTCAAATTAGTTAAGTCAAGTCTTGGTGGAGACTTTTTATTTCATGTAGCATTATTAAAATTAGAAAATTGTAGACATATACTTACATTAGAAACCACAGTGATAAATGCATGTGCTATGAGAAATGGCAAAGTATCGGGAGTTCCATATTCAAAACAGTCCTTCATGAGGGATAGGCCATTTTTTCCACAAAATAAGCAAACATAGCGAAGCAAGTGCAATGGTACTTCTACATCCTATAAAAATAAAAGCAGTTTTTTTTAATCCATATATCTCTTTCTCATTCAAAATATGCATACCCCTACATGCTATTCTGAAATCTTATCTTCATGAGCACCAAAGCAGTATTTCAGGATTTGTACAATTTCCATTTGATTTCTATGCACAATTCAATGTATTGATTTTTAACTAAGTGTTAAAATTAAATCTAATGTTGTGAAATAGTATATATGAAACTTTCACATTTCATATCCCTCTGCATGTATTTAGGTTTATACATCAATGGTGAACTCTTTGAAGTTTCTGAAAAAGCTGAGCATACTTATTTTATGTATTTTTAAAATTTCTCTTTGTAGATTTGGCCCTTCAGCTCTATATAATCATATAACTTTGCATATTATGACCTATGAAGCTGAGATAGTTGCAATTATTCTGTCTATACACAATAAATGAGTGAAACTATATTTGTTCATTTATCCAACAATAAAAATGTAGCATAAGTTATTTCAAATTGGGTACAGATAGTTTATAGTTTTTTAACTTGTTTAATTGGATTGTTTTTATCTGTTATGAGCCCAGCAGAGTAGCTTAGGTAAGCTACGTAGCATTACAAATTAAAAAAAAAAGTGGTGCAAGATTCTAACAATCCAACAGATATCAGGCAGATTCAAACCCAAAATATAAGGCAGTATACAAATTTTTACAGTACTCATTAAGGTATTCTGTTAACAGCACAGAATATGGTTTACAAAGCACAATAATTAAGTTCATGTATTATCAAAACTACATTGTGTCTCATAACAATAAACTCAATCTATACTGGGTATATTAATCATGTACAAGGGATTATAGTTCAGTGACTATTGTTAGTGACAATAGACAATAGCTCATGCTTTTTGAGCAACCTAATATTTATCTTCAGACACTGCTGGTAAAGATATCTGGCCAAAGGAGCTGCTGTCATCATGGTGTCCTCAGATGAAGTGGTATCGGTAAAATGAGGACCCAGATTGTTATGGGGCAATATGCTGACTCTGTAAACATCTTACAGAGCAGGCCTGTCAAACTGGCCACGCCCACGCCAGCTCCGCAAAGGCAACAAACATGGCGCTATGTCATGATCTGGCCGCAATCCAATTGAGTTTGACACCCCTGGCTTAGAGGGTGCGGTAAAGAACTATGAAGCATTATATAAGTGCTATTGCTATGATTATGTTCCCAGTCATCTAGAAGGTTATAGACTAGGGCACCAGCTACAACCTTTCTTGCAATTGGATTTGGCAATTTTTAACCCTCTTTGATTATACCCCATCTTGAGCACTGCTTTGTGAGTGTTCAATAGGGGCAGCTATAAGGAAGATATCACTATAATATGCTATAAAATGCCTAAACTGAAATATCTACACCAAATGAACCAGTAATTAATTAGCAATTCATGGTGTTGGCATTAATCTCTAAATTCTTAAATGGCTTAGAACCTGAACATATAACATACTATTTTTCCTATTCTAAGCTTATCTGATCACTAAGAGCTATACCAGAATCTATTTTAAAGATACCTCTTTAAAGGTGGAATACAAAGAATAAATAAATAGTTAGAGACCTCCCACTTTTTTAAAAAAGCATACAGGAGAAAGCCGTTCCCTGTACTGCACAAGATACTTTTAACACTATGTGCATTTATATACACTAACTATATTATATATTTTATACGCAGCCAAAAACAACTCTTCTTCACCAATGGGGTCCAGGCAAGACAACTAGTTGAAAATGATAATCTGTATGGATTAATATATTTTTCCCCAGTCTTTTATTACTAATTTAATATTATTTTCAGATTTTTACTTTTTATTTCTGTTTTCTAAATATTAGCCTTCTTCAAGTATTTGCTACAGTAGAATGGCAGAGGATATTTGAAATAAATAGGCTGTAGAAAGTAATATTGATTCAGTATAATGCAGCTTAAGAATATTACTTATTTAATAAATGTTTATTTGAACTGAATTCAGGACAATATATAAGCAACTAGAATGCTTTCATGAACAAAAGTAGTAGGCTATAATTTTTGATGCTGTGCATTTTTAAATAAAAATTGAAAACTTACATTCATGTCACAGAATGCCCCTAATATATTGCTTTCTTGTGCAGAAATATCCTGTTTAAAAAAGCATAAATTATTTAATTATGAATGTTTCAAATAGGTAAAAATCTAAGGCACATATGCAGAAAATAATAATCATCAAGAAATAAAATCCAAAATACAACTATTCCCTTACTCTGTTCTCTCTTTGTATCTCATCTAGATGCAGTAAAAAAATACTATTTTAATTTGTACATAGTGTCCAAACTAGTAAGTTATTCAGTTTAGTAGTTACCAGCATAAAGAAACAATTCCCTTTCCATGCTGAAACTAGGATTTAAACCTATTTTAGGGATAGTATAACATTATCTTCAAGAACAACTGTAAAAAAAAGTCACATTATTTCACAGCACTGGTTCTCTTGCACCATATTTTGAAGTCCAGTTCTAATGATGGAAAGGAAGCCATCCTCATAGCTTTAAAATTATAAATTACTGTATTGAATAATTAAAATTGATATAACAATTACATTTACAACTGCTTTAAAAGTAATGCATAATTATAATGCCATGAGTCAATATTAGCTACCCTCAAGTTCATCACTGTTTTCTCTTTTTTAATTTTAAAGCTAGTTAGGATCACAGGCCAAACCAAAACTATGGTTTAATGTTGGTCTATTACTACAAACCCTAGGTGGCATAAATTCAGAACTGTGTTCCTGTCATGCAGCTACCTATGATTAACACAGATTTCAGATATATATTAGATGTATAATTCAAGAAAATATTATACAGGTACTTCCTGACTTACAATAGTTCATTTAGTGACCATTCAAAGTTATAACAGCCCTGAAAAAAAGTGTCTTATGACCATTTTTCACACCTACAACCATTGTGGCATCCCCATGATCACGTGATTAAAATTCAGACCCTTGACAACCAACTCGTATTTATGACAGTTGCAGTATCCTGGGATCATGTAATCCACCTCTTGTGACCTTCTAACAAGCAAAGTCAATGCAGAAGTCAGATTCACATAACTCTGTTACTAACATAATTGCAGCGATTCACTTAACTGTGGCAAGAAAAGTCTTAAAACGGGGCAAAATTCACTTAACAAATGTCTTATTTAAGCAACAGAAATTTTGGTTTCAATTACGGTCATAAGTCAAGGACTACTTATACTCTGAAAAGTTTAGCTTTTGTTGCAGTCACATTTATATGGTACACTACTTCTTCCCCAAACTTAGTAGGTATAGAACAAGGGTAAAAACATTTGTTTTAAATGGACACATATTAAATATTTCCTTATGACATCTCCAACAAAATGCTCTAGAATTACATATCTTTTGGGTGGAACTTGTCACCTGGACAACATAAAGACTATCTGTGCTCTTAAAGCTGAAGGACTGGTATTGCAACTTTAGAAAGATAAATGTATGGCCCCATTTACTCAATGGATCAAAGATTACACTTGCTATCTATTAGCAGACTGCCTATAAACAGAGATAGTATCATCAAATAGAAGAAAATATGGGACTCGTTTATATACAGTACAGTAGGTTAAAAAAAGCATGTTTGTATTGTTGTTATTCAGTCACTAAATTGTGTTTGACTTCGCAAATCTCATAGACCAAAGCACGTCAGGCAGTGATAGGCATGGGACTTTTTGATCGGAGACAGAGGATGGACTGTCCCGGAGGAGACATCAGTGGTTTTTGGTGTTGGTGTTCTATTCTTCCTCTCTGTATACAAGCCCAGGTCTTAATAACCAGACCAGAGGCAAGGGCCTTTAGCTACTGTTACTTAATGCTAGGTTGGTTAACAAAGCTGCTCTTATTTGCAATCTTATCAGTGAGAAACAGGGCAATCTCCCATGTATTATTGAGACTTGGCTAAGCTCAGGTAGACAGTCCCCTCTCTGAAACCTGTCTGAATGACTTTAGGGTATACCAGCCAGGACCTCAAAGCAAAGGAGGGGGATTAGCAATTGTTACCCAAAATTTCAACTTGCTCCAAGTTGCCAGTTATGAAATCCTGTTTCTGAAGACGAGCATGGGTCAATTGAGATTACTGCTACTGCTGTGTAGAACTTGTCTGCCTTAATTGCTGGAGGTCATCATGGACTTGACTATGGACTTCCCCAGACTACTGATCCTTTTTTTTTTTTGGGGGGGGGGGTAATTTGCCATTCCTGGAGCTGGCCTTAGAAGCAGTCCAGAAGCTCCTGGCCATTATCACAATCATGGGCTTAATCTAGGTTATTCATGGCTCACTGAAAAGTAATCATACATCTGACAGTTTTCTTCTCAGAACAGTGGCAATGTGATCTGAATGTTGGGGTCACATCATGCTTTTATGCTTCTCCATTCTGCAGGAATAAGACATATTCAATAAGCCTGTCCCCGGTTGGACCCACTGGGATTCCAAAGGGAACTGAGGGCTTTACCTGAAACTTTACTGCATGGTCCTGCTGAGAACTTGGCCACTACCTGGAACAGGATAGTGCCCATGCCATCTCTATTGGCCCATCACTCCCAGCACTCTGGTTTATTTAGGGAAGAGTTGAGAGTGCTAAAAAGGGTCAACAGTGGGGAAAAAAAGGAGGGATGAATCCAATTAATCATGAAGGTTTCTATTAATGCTTACCTCATGGTAGTTAAGAATAGAAAAAAATCAGCATTTCTCCACTCTTATTTTATCTACAGAGAATTGCCTGATGGCCTTTTTTAAAAGTTGTCTGGACTCTCCTAGGTAAGAAGGGGAGAGTCAAGAGGTTTGCCTTTAGGGACACACTGAGGAATTTTCAGTTAACAGATAAAATTGCTCACTCATTCTCAGTTGGAAGCCAGTGGGAGTGCAGGTCTTTTAGAGATAATTATATGGGAATAATTTGCTTCTGTTGGCCCCAAGGAAACAGAGAACTCTTGGGACTGTAATCATGGCCACGATGAATCAGTTCCATGCCCCTCCTCGTTGGTCAAGGAGGTGACATGTAGATGGTTCAAATAATGGTTAATTTATTGACAGAAGTGGTACTTTTGGCACTACTTAAAGAGCTAGCATGCCAATTCTCAAGAAGCTATTGCTGGACCCTATTGTTCTGGATAATTTTTGTCCAGTGTCTCAGGGAAAGAGACTGCCCTTTCTAGGGAAAATTGATGAGAAGGTGGTTGTCCTATTGTACTACAGCTTCAGAGAATTCTGAATGAGACAGATTATCTGGATCCCTTCCACTTAAATTCAGGTTGAATATGGGACAGAAATGGCATTGGTCACTCTTTTGGATTACCTCTGGCAGAAGCAGGTTAGAATGCATCCATTCTGACTCTTCTTGACCTCTCAATGATACCATCAGTCCTGATATCCTTTTAGGTTGGCTTTGGGAGCTGGGGATGGGGGGGCATGATTTTCTGCTGGTTCACCTTCTTCCTCTAAGGCATATTGGCAGGGAGCAAGAAATCCTTTCCACAGTCCTTTCTTTGTGGAGTGCAGCAGGCCTCAGTACTTTCTCCACCTCTAATATCTAGATGAATGCACTGAGTAACTATGGAATGAGATATCGTAAATATGTATATGATACCTAGTTGTACACTTTCATTAAGTGATGCTGTGGATGCCGTTTTGTGGTAGTTGGAAGCTATGGGATCTGGATAGAGAACAGCAGGCTTCAATTGAATCTCAATAAGACAAGAGTAATTATAGGCAGGGCTTTCTTATTTATCTGAAGGCTTGGCATCTTTGGTTTTGGATAGGGTTACACTGCCCCAAATAGATCTGGTGCATAATCTTGGGGTCCTTCGGGACTCATGACCCTTGTTCCTGCCTTTGCTCAGTTTCATGTAGTGTGCCAACTGCACTTGTCCTGGATCACTTGTCCTCTTTAATGCTGTTTGTCATTTTTCCTGGTTTTTATTTGTAAATCACCCAGTAACTTATGTGAGATGGGTGATGTAGAAGTTTGATAAATAAAAGCAAATATTATGTGTACCACCCCTTTAATTAGTTGAAACAGTGATTTTTTTCAATACCTAACTCTGTTTCCAAGTGTTCAAATATCTGTCTCCACTTGTTATTTGAATCCCAAGCTGTGCAAATCTACATCCAACCCTCTGGTAGAATGAACATTGGCTTACCTGAATGTTCGTTTTCTCCTGTGGCGTGGAGTGTCCAGAGAGATTAGGTATGGTCAGGTCATCTGCCTGCTGCACTGAGTCTGCATTGCATTTGAAGCTCTGCCCTGTGCTGTGGCCATGCCCCAGCTTTCAACAAAGCATTTGGCAGACTGGACATGATTCTATAGTTGCATGATAAAAAGGACATACATTATTGCTCCCCCACCCCCAGACCAGACGATCAAGGGTGGCACTGGACTCTACACCACAGAAGAAAAGGAACATTCAGGTAAGCTAATGTTCATTTTTCTTTCTGTGGCTCCAAGAGTCCAGAGAGATTGGGACATACCAAAGCTGGACTGTTCCTGGGAAGGCTTGAGTCTGGTCCGACTCACATTGGCGCTCATGGACGCTCTGTAGAACCCTCCTGCCAAAGACTGCATCAGCTGACGCAAAGGCATCCAATCGATAATGTCAAATAAATAGTGATGGTGAAGACCATGTAGCAGCTTGACATATTTCTTCAATGGGTGCTTGAGTGGCCCATGCTGCAGTTGTTGCCATACTTCTGGTAGAATGGGCCGTCAACCCTCGAGGCAAAGGAAGAGACCTATTCTGATAGGCCTTAGATATGCAAGCCTAATCCATCTACTCACTGTAGATGGAGTCACCTTTAACCCCAATATGCCTGGCTGGGGCCTCTGTCTTATGGATTGGACGTGTTCTCCGGATATATAATTTCAATGCTCTTCAAACATCCAGGGTATGCCACGCCTGTTCCAAATTATAAGTAGGATTGGGACACAAATTTGTAATATAAGTTCTTGGGCTCCGTGAAACCTAGAATTAATCTTGGGAATGAAGGATGCAAACCGCAAAAGAACCCTATCTGGGTGGAAAATACAGAGATTTTCCCTGACTGAAAGAGCCGTCGTCTCGGAGATTCTTTTAGCCGAAGTGA